TCTTTTTTCTGAAGAGCATGTTTTGTCTGTTTATTTGTAAGTTGTTTTGCTCTTTTATACTATTAATGTGTTGATTTGTATTCATTGGCTCTTCCACACGATTTTGATTCTCGTCTTGCCACTTTGTAGACCACGTTTGAACGCCATATGACATATCAGAGCATGCCTACAAGGTTTAACTTTCAAATGAAGAACGGTATAAACGGTTTGTTTCAAATAAAAAGAAGCAGCTCATCTGCTGTGTGTATTCTCAGATCTGATTTCTAGGGTTGGTTGGTTTCCTACGCTATTTTTTCCCAATGTGCAGGAACGTCTCAAACGTTAATCTCATATTATGCATTAAGTGTTGAGGGTGAGTTCATTTGCTCTTTTAATGACCAAATCAGTTGTGTATGTGGTTATGCATGTACGCATTGCATACGTCATCAAGCTATTCTGAACGCGAGATCGGGTTTACATCATTTTATTCATACTCAAAAAAGTCTTCCAAGCACAGAACTCCAGAAGCTCTTGTTTTTTTTCTTCAACTACATTTGATGTTTCTCTCGACCTTATTTCCAAGCATTGCACTGAGGATTGAATGGATGCAGGCGTTTGACTTAACTGGTGATGTATGTTTGTAAGATAACTGAATGCCATGTAGATGTTATTATGTGATTGGCTGAAACCGGGTGAAATGCGTCTTTGAATCGTGTAGTTCTGCAGGTAATAGTATAGAAAGCCCATAGCTAGCAAAAATGCAAGGTATATTGCAAGAAAAGCGGTAAGACAGCTCAGCAAATGATCATGACACAAATCTAATTTTGTTCTTTTGAGATCCATCCACATACATGCACAAACTGCAGTTGAAAATGAGTTGACTACATAATGACGATTTTCCATGCAACGTACAGGGTTGAAACTAAATGTCATCATAGTGTGTTAAAACCAAACGTAATGGTTTCAGGTATCATATTTGTGCCTCACTGTCCTAAAGTCTGTCAGCTGTAGTCCTTTAAATGTAAAAACGGCTAAATCGTGTTAGAAGCAATGGTCCTCTTTCTGTAAAGAGACATCTAAACCAATCATTAAGAGGGAGGAGATGATGTTCATGTAAGTTTTGTTCAATCAACAAGTTGTTTTCTCTCTGCAAGGTCATGTTTGTTCCTTTATCTGAACACAGCATCATGCAAATGCTTTTGTAATGTCCCTGCTTTGAAATATACAATTGTCAGCTCTCATTTCTCTATACAATCTCAAAGTATTGTATACTGTATATATCTAAAGAGTTTTCTGTGTATGGGTCTGAATTTCTCTTCCTTTGACGCCCTTGGTTTTGTCTCCAAGTCTAATTTTTGGTACAACAAAAAAAAAAATCCTATTTTTATGCAATAGAATAACTTATACAGGCAGAGGGTATGCAGTTAAAGTATCCAACGTGGTGGCGAATGGAAATAATGTATACACTTGCAAGTAGAAAATTTATGCAACTTTTCCTTTGCACTAAATGACTGCCCCATTGCACAGTGCTATTGTGAGCAGAGGATTGGTGCTTGAGGGTCTGGGACGAGCATTCAAACGCATTAATTCAGCTACTTATTAACAGAAATCTTGAGAAAATTTGGCTCTAATGCCCCCGACTCACACTTTCTGCTTACCACACACATTTATACCCGCTGCTTCTACCACATACGTGTTGATGGACATGAGTGTGTAATTGGAAACGTTTTTAAAATGTTGTTAAATCCCAGATGGATCTGATCCATTGAATCAACAAGCACAACCCCAACAGCAAATATTGTCTTCTTCAGCTCCTGCTCTGATCATTTTAGGGCTTGATTGTGATGTCTATATTCTTAAAGTGCTTTAATTACTTTTATATATAAAGTATCACAAATGTTATGTGGGAACCCTCATAGTAATATTTGTATCTTCTTTAAATGTGTGGGTACGGCTGAACCCCGTGTCCTGTGGATAGTGTCAGTCAGACCCTTAAGCACCACTGGTTTTAGCTCAGCAGCTCGATGACCTGTACAAATTGTAACTGCTTCTGTACTGACAAAAATAGTCTGTACTTTTTTCCCGCTGTGATATAAGAACATTTTATGGGTTTTAATATCAGTTTTGAATATCAGTGGGGTTATTTCTCCAAAGCTCAAAGGAAAGAAATTGAAAGGAAACTGGGCAATTCAGGTTGCATGAATAACATTGTCCCTGTAATGGTTCTGCTGTGCATGATGAAACCACTGTCATTCTCACTCACAACCACTGTACAAGGGTGACACTAATACACATGGAAACAGTGAATGAATGAATGCTGTATAATTCAGATCCTGACTGACTCTGTACAGTTAATTCCTTGATAAATACAGCTTGTGATATGTCAAACGTCTCATTTTTCGTTTGTTCTGTTATTGGCATCCTCATGTTCTTGTAAAGACCTTGTTACAAGTTAGAGCTGCACGATTATGGAAAAATGAGAATCATGTTTTTGTTTATTAAAGATCACAATTAGACGACTAAAAATTCTTTACTAAAGGTTCTGACAAAATGTTAATTACTGCAGTCTATTGAAAATATCTAATGAATTAGATTTTTTTTTAAATCTGTTTAAATAAGTAATTCAACGACTCATAAAGAGGGTATAAAAATCATAAAAATGTTTAATTTCTGGAAGAATCAGCATTTTTGAACGAATCTCTTGAATGAATGATTCAATGACAAACAGTCACTTCTTGTCGGCACCTATGGTGTAACGATGCAATTGGTACAATCATTATTTGAAGTCAAGATACTTTCAAAACGTGATTTGAGTTGCTCTATTTGGATCGATACTGTAGACATATATCCGAACTATAAACAGTACAGTACTTCTGTGATCATTGGCATAGAAATACTGTGTGGTTTAAAAAACACTGATTGTGAAGCTGTGTTTTATACCTGTAGACACCTAGGCTACATGACAACTTTGTTAATTTTAATATGGCTCAGCTGCAGAACGAGCACATATCTGAATGTTCGCTGTGATTCATTGTAGGCCTACTTGTCATAAGTTTAATTGACAGAGGAATCGTTGTAATTTAGGAATAAGATCGTGCGAGTGTTTGAATCGAAAACTCGATGTTTAAAGACTATTGTGCAGCTCTACTGCTCAAGTAGGCCTACTAGCCTGTGCATGTAGCTAATTGTCTTTAATTTGTTATCAGCCATATATAGCTGTAAATCTGTTCTAGAAAACAGAACATAGGCTAGGCCTATATGAAATGTGTAGGCTAATAATAGGGAAATATTGTTTTGCAATATAGGTTCATACATAGCACTTGACAATTTACGGCCTCAGATGTTTCTAGAAACGTAGCCTACACTGTAAAAAATGATCGTGATTTTAACGGTAAAAGACTGTAAAAATGCTACAGTGAAAAACTGTTAATTGGTTAACAGAAAGTTTCCTTACTATAGCCTACGGTAAATAACTGTGATATATATAATGGTACATTTAATGTAATTTTACTGTAAAATACCGTTAAATTTACAGTTTACCATTTGACTCTCATCACTGCGGTGATTGTTGCCTGTCAGAGTATTACAATGGAAAAAAAAAAACAGATATTAAAACTTCAAAAGGTCAGTAAATTAACATTCTGTCAGATAATGAAACACGGTTTATTGCTGTAAAATTATATACGGTTAAAAGTCTGTAAAACCTAAAAACGTTGCTACCGTATTTTTAACAGGAAAACTCTGGTAACCACAGTTGCCAGGGTTTTCCTGTAAATTTAACGATTTTTTTTTACAGTGTAGTCGTAGACATGTTGACGTCTTCTACTTTCAACTCGAAGTAGAGCTACATCACAATGATGTTAGAACATGTTGAAGTGTAGATATAGGCTACTGCAAAAACATTTGATTAGGTCTCGTTAGCCTTAGCAGTTTTCACACATAATCTCCAATTCAATTTTTGTCAATGTGGACATTCTTTTATTTTGTTCTTTCTTTCTTTGTCTATGGATGTGACCAGTAGACAGCGATGTTGTCTCAATATACAATAGTTTGATAAACCTTTTAGACAATATTGCTACATTGTATTTTTTTTCTGCCAAAGAAAATAGTTCCAAATATTATATTATATTATATTATTTTTTAGCTTCTATAACTGAAAGAGTGCATTTTGGATAGACGTGAAAAGCCCTGATGCTCGTAGTGCACTGATGTTTGATTGAAAGACTGATGTTGTTTAATCTGTCATTTATGCTGTTTTATTGACATTGAACAGCGTCTCAGCCTCCCCATCCTGAATGATCATGGGCATCTCACAAAATCATGAATCATATTCTGTGGTCAGCTGCAATAACAGAGGATGACTTAGAGTCTTGTTGTTTGTTGTTGTTGAATATGGTTTGACAAGGTTGTGTGTGTTTGATGGATTCTGAATATGTCAAGGTTTTCTGCACTAATGTATAACTGTGTTTTGGGGTCAGTAAGAGAAATATTTCATAAATATCACCATAAATAATTCAGGGACCTTTACTCATTTTAGTCTGCATAAATCTGTATGAATCACAAACACTGAGAGGACACACAGATGGTGTGGTGACATTACATATATATATGTTTATATAGCCTATTTGTGTATGCTCTGAATTGCTTAAAAGGCTTTTTCCCTTCAGAAACAGCCATTGATCAAAGTATTTGTGGATCTTTAATTTTTTCACTAAATTAACTACTGGAACTAGCAATACATAGGCCTATAATAATTAATCGTATGTGTAGTTATATATTTATTTACTTTATGTATTTATTATTTATTTAACGTATTGCATATTTAATAAAATAGACCTATTTTAATATATTAAAAATGATATATATTAAAGTCGCTTTTGATATCTGAGACAATTAGGCCATGTACACACTGCAATTAATTCGGTCCGACTCTGCATATTTTATTAGCGGTTGTTGCAGGAAGTGACAGCTAACGTTAGATGGAGCGATTTCAAAGCGGAAGTGTGACTTATGAGCGGAAGTGTGCGTGTTGTTACTGAGCAGTGATGATGATGATGATGATAATGATAATGTAGTGAGAAGGCAGCGCTGTCATATCAGCAGCATATGGAGTATCATCTCTAGAAAGTATTTCAAACAAAAATGTGTTGTTCAGACTCTAATAAGCCAAGTGTAGTCTTCAACCCATGATCCTGAGGAAAGGAGGAAACCAGCTTCCGAATTAAGGTTAGTAGGCTACTTTACATCTCTTATCATGTTTTAAAATAAAATGCATTTTTTTTTTACTTTTGAGAAAAATGTAGCAGCTATTTGCTGTTGTTAGTTGTGTTTGTTCTCCTCTGCATTGAGGTAAAAGTCCTTTTCATCGGCGATACGCTTAAAAAAACTGATGGTTTGTCGAGTAACACTGTTTGAATATAGTTCTGTTAGTTGGTTGCCTCTGCTACGTTTGTTGTTTTTATTAAAATAAAGTAATTAATTTATAGCTAGTTGAACATCATAGTTAAAAGAGCAGTGAAAGGTCCAGAAAAAAAAAAAAAAAAAAAAAACATCTCTAGAAAGTCATGGAAATGTCATTTTAGAATGATTAATTTGCAGCTAATTAATTAATAGTCAACTAATTTTTAAATGATTTTTTTTTAAAGTTTTCAATTAAAAAAATACATTCATCATGGTCCACAATCGACTGGACAATATATTGGTCAGAGGTATGGGAACCCTGGATTCATCTCTTAGCTTATAGCTGAACACATTGAGGACATTTTAGTGAACAATAGAGCAATTTAGAAGGAAAAAAGGGGGGATGAAAACATTGTTTTCCGCTCTAGTGCCACATCCCTGGCTGTCCTACATCATCATCATCATCATCATCATCATGTTGAGATGATCTGGGTCAGGGTGGCGAGCACTTCACTCTTCATGTGTGTCTACTGATCCATCATTAAAGGCTTTTGACAGCTGTGACATACTGTACTGTCCATAACCACAGAAAATATTACTTGTTCCTCAAGTTATAAACTTCACTGTTTATATTTCAACAATGAATTGGTATAGAAACAATATTATTCAAAAGTTGAGGATAACTATTATGTGCAATTTAAAAATGTATACAAATCAGTTTTTATTTGAGTGTTGATTATTATATCTAAAAATAAATTGCAATTGAATTAGCAAGCAACTTTATTTATATAGCACATTTTCAAACAACAGACGTAGCCCCAAAGTGCTTTACATAAATGATAACATTAAAATCATACAACAAAAAAAACGTATTCAAAAGCTAAAGAAAATACGTTTTTAAATAAGAAAAACTTAAGACCTTGTTGTTAATTTGAACGTTTAATATTATAGAAATGTACCAACAGACAGGATTCCCTGTATAGTTTACAGCTTTATTTTACATCTAAAATACTACTTTATCTGATTTATATCGAAATGAATTATCAATTTGAACTGAAATCGGAATCAAATGTAATCAAGCGCTTGTGAATTAAAATTGATTCGATTTGTGATATCTGTGTCAATACACTACCCTAATATAAACACTCCATAATTTAATGATGCACATTTATTATTTCTATTGATTAAAATGAAACGTTTATTATCTTACTAAATACTAGTAGTACATATATTTCATGACAAAAAATAGCTAGCTAGCTAGCTCAAGTGATCATTTATGTATGTGCATATGTATTATAATAATAATTCCCTTTTTTTTTTTTTTCACACTCTACAGATATTTCACTTGTCTCATGGGAAAACAATATTTATTACTTTTGTTTCCAGATGAAAACTACGATTGTATCACTCCATTAAAACAAAAGTAGCTGGGAAGATTTTCAGTTAATAAATACTTGAGTTTGTCTGTTCCTCACACAAAGCTATTGTATGACATGAGTCATATGAAAAATATAATCAAATACATAAAAAAAAAAAAAAATTCTATGCAGGGATGGAAGTGCACCGGTCAGGCCTCGGCAGGAAGAGGAAGAGAGAGGAGTCAAATGGCGAGATGAGGGAGGCCGAGGGTTTCCGGAAAATTCAACGGAGAACTTTGGTGAGATGTGGCTTTCAGTCGGCACTTCTTGTGTCAACACTCTTGTCTTGAGGTGTGTGTGTATGTTTCAGGGGTTGAGTGAACCTGCGCCCTTCTCTGATGAACTGGTGGCCTCAAAAACACCATACATTCGCGTTAGCATGGAAGAAGCCCGTCTTGGCACTCCAGGTGCGTAAATATCAATTTTACCCACACTGACCCTCATTATATACACATTCTCTCCTTCTTCAATCCTCCTCTCTTTAGAGGACCGTCCGGTACGCGTCTATGCTGACGGGATCTTTGACATGTTCCATTCCGGACACGCTCGTGCTTTAATGCAGGCCAAGTGCCTTTTCCCAAACACACATCTCATTGTGGGCGGTGAGTTTCCGTCTTTTGTCGCGTGCATTCCTGCTATAGTGTAACCCATCATGATTCAGCCGGGAAATCTGCTCTAATGTGGGTGACACTATAATAAAGTTCCATTTGTTAACATTATTTATTACATTAACAGTAATGATCAATACATTTGTTACAGTATTTATTAGTCTTTGTTAAAAAAATACAACTCTTCATTGGTAGTTCAGTTGTTAGATCGGGTCCCTTAAATAGTATTACTTTTGATTTTAATAATGTGATCGTAAATGTTAAGGTAACATTAGCTAAGATTGCTAAATGCTTTAGAAGTATTTTTCATTGTTAGTTCATGTTAACAGAACTGTAAAGTGTTACAGTAGTGTGTTTGTCTTTCAGTGTGCAGCGATGATTTGACGCATAAATTCAAGGGTTTCACTGTCATGAACGAGGATGAGCGTTACGACGCTGTGAGTCACTGTCGGTATGTCGATGAGGTGATCCGCAACGCCCCATGGACACTGACACCTGGATTTCTGGCCGAGCACAGAGTGAGTATCCAGAGGGCAATATCATATTTCATTCCTGTAGCTCAACCAAAGCCAAGGTCATGGGTTCGATTCCCAGGGAATGCATGTACTGATCAAAAGTATAGCTTGTCAGTTGCTACCACATGACACTGTTAGGTGTGTAACTGTTAAAGGTGCATTGCGCAACATTTCATGTTAAAAATACCCGTTTTTCTAACCCATACATGCTTAAACAAGTGCCTGAAGCCCTTCTCTGATCACTGCGATCACCCTCGAATAAATAAGAGGGATTCGGGACGGAATTTGAGACTGGGCGTGACGTCATGCGCGTTCACGCTCACCTGGCTATGTCTGGCAGGTTTGTGTGTATTCGCCGGCGCCGCCATTCTCCGTATCAGCGAAGACAACTCGAGCGACAAAACTTTAGTCAACTTTCGACAAAAGTAGAAGATGGATTCTAAGAGACCGGCTTGTAGTTCATTTCAAACCCCAACGCAAACTCCACATAAGACAAAGAAAAGAAAACTTTTGTCTAGTGCCACCAAAAGGGCCAAATTGGAGTCAGACAGGCGTCGGAGTAAGACGAGAGTCAACATCGGGAAGCCTTTCAACAAATGTAGAGATATCCGGTCTGCTCTTGGTCTCAAACGGGATCCTCAGTTGGCTTTTTTCTTGATAAAACGGTTCATGAACGTGTTTCTATAATAATACAATCATAAGTGGATACAGTAAACGCATAAAACAGTTCAACATGGAGATAGATGGAAACAAAAACCAAAGTTTTCTACTACCCCCGTTTTCCCCTCACACATAAGTGTGTAATTTACTCAAATGCCTTTCCTTTCATATATTTAAAATGACTTGCAGATTTATAACTTTATTACCTTTGAAGACAATATGACTGTAAACAAAAGATTTGAGCGGCTGATGCTCCTTTGGTTATGAACAGCTCGTGCAAGTGTGCGTGTGGTCCATGAGCGCGCACACCTCTGGTTGCAGTTTCGCTTGTCGCCAGAGGGGGCATAGTTCGGCAAAAACTCAGAGACTAGCGCAATGCACCTTTAACATGTTGTGGTTAAAGGGATAAGTTCACTCAAAAGTGAAAAATGTATTATTTATTTACTCACCACTTCACAACCATATGAAGAATCTCTATGCAGTTCTTTTCCGTTCAACGACAATTCATAGTGAACACGTCTGTTAAGTAGTGATGGGAGAAAGTTTGAATCAACTACACCAATTTATTAACAAAATGATACACTGTGTGAAATGCTGGTGACGCCTGCTGGTTAGAACAGTGTAAATGCTGCAAATACTCAAATCCAAACATGCATAAAAACACCTTACAAACCATTCCAAATGTTTTATTGAAAGTGTAATCTATTAAATGCAATTATCAAGTCATCTACTATCATTAAATACTAAGTGTCTGTATAATATGGGTTAAGCTTGGTTAATCAGGCCAATAATTGCCTTTTAACTACAACTCTTCATTTTATTATACAAATTCATCCGCCGAATTCATGAAATGGATCCAGGTCAGGTAAAAAACCATAAAGACACTACTTCGTGGGTTCATGAGATCGACCCCTGCTGCAAACAGTTAAAATTGGAAAACATTCTCACATTACGAAGCCTTGTTTACTGAAATCATACAGCTTTGGCAGTGCGATACACAATCCGAATCAATGGTTCGAAACATTTAAATGGTTTTGAAAGTGCCCATCCCCACTGTTAAGCTGCAAAAATGATCCATATGACCTATTTGAATCAGTGTGAATTTCACAGGAAAAAATAATACAAGTTTGGAACAACATCAGGGGGAATAAATGACAATTTTCATGTTTCGGTGAATGTTATCCTGGGTTAAACTCTATTTGAAGGTATCCTTGTTACAGTGTGATTACATATAAGAAATTAATTACTTAGTAATATTATTTAACTACATGTACATACTATGGGGTAGAGTTAGGGTTGGGTTTAGGGTTAGTTGCTTGTAATTATGCATAATTTACTGCCACTACTATTAGTAAGTTCATGCAATTTGTAACATGGACACTGGACAGTGTACAATAGTATTACCTTATGCTTTAACAACATAAAAAAAAACTTTACAACAAATCATAAAGATAAATATTGGTACCTTCTCAGATTTTGAACTCGTGCTAATCTGAATGTGGTTCAGTATTGCCGTCTCACTCAGTGGAAGTGATCGGCTGCGTCTGAAATCACTTACTCGCTTAAGGAGGTACTTATTAATTAATATTTGTGACTGCTAAAAATCACGCTCTGTATAGTATGTAATCTGGATGTACTACATTCGCCATGTTGCCCTTATCCAATGACATACCAGCATCAGTTGTGTCACATTACCACCATTCATAAATTCTCTCCTGTGGCCTCATGGGATAGTAAAGTGTCCATCATATGCACACTTCAGAATCTCACTGGAAGTAGAGTACTTGTTTCCTACTTTTGTATGAGTACTGTGAATTATAATATACTACTTATGTCACGTACTGTTTTCGTCTACTATATAGTAGGGAAGTATAGGATTTTGGATGCAGCCATAGTCTTAATAAACACTGATATGATGACATGTTCTCCCTAGATAGACTTTGTTGCCCATGACGACATTCCATACATCTCAGCAGGAAGTGATGATGTTTACAAACATATAAAGGATGCAGGTAGAAATATTAAAAACTTCTGCAAAATACAGTTATGGTAGCCCAAAAAATGTGTTTTTATTTGTCACCAGATTTGCTCTTGAAATTCTCTTTAAGGTATGTTCGCACCGACTCAGAGAACAGAAGGCATCTCCACATCCGACGTAATCACACGAATCGTACGTGATTATGACGTTTATGTGCGCCGCAACCTACAGAGAGGCTACACTGCGAAAGAGCTGAACGTCAGCTTCATCAATGTGTGTGTGTGTGTGTGTGCTGGACTACACACTTCCATCTTTTACCAAAGCCATTAAAAAGGAAATATTCCTTTGAAAGCAACTAGACTGTTCCCCTTTTTTCCCAGGAGAAGAAGTACCACCTTCAGGAGCGCGTGGATAAGGTGAAGCAGAAGGTCCGAGATGTGGAGGAAAAGAGTAAAGAGTTTGTGCAGAAGGTGGAGGAGAAGGGTATCGACCTCATTCAGAAATGGGAGGAGAAGTCACGCGAGTTCATCGGGAACTTCCTGCAGATGTTCGGGCCTGATGGGGCGCTGGTTAGTCTGGATGTGTGCAGCTATTACTTACATCTCAGGGATTGATGGTTTAGTTGGTAAAGCATGGCTTTTCAACTCTGGCCCTCGAGGTCCACTTGCATTTACTGCAAACCCGAGTCACTCTGAGACACTGAACCAGAGACAATTTATATAGAGACATGCCACTTCCTAAATCCTCAATACAACTATATAGGGAAAACCCGTAACACCAAAGATGGCGGTTGTATGCACATGCTCCACCCCTCCCGCTGGAAAGCCAATCGTCTGCTTTTAACAGTCAAGCCGGGAAACATTTAAGCCTATCGTCTGGTTCCACTGACACATGCGCACATTTGATATTTGTGACAGCGGAGACGAGAACCCAGGGTTCTCAAGTTTTATCAAAAGATTGGAGTGAGATCACATGCGGTTAGGGGAGGAGCCCAAGGGGAGGAGCCCCAGTGGAGCCCCGCCCCCCAATTTTACCCATTGTTCATAATTAACCAGCACAAATTAAAATTATAACAATTGGTAAATCTGATAAATGACAGAGCAATTCATCACATCAAATATACTCTTTAATGTTGTATTTCAAAATTACTAAAATATAACAAATTGCTCCAAACAATTTGGAAAAACAAATCTTTTTGCATTTTTTCCTGACTTGAAAAATACAAATACAATGGCAATGATTAATGTATGTTTTGACAGGATATAAAATATTACCCAGAGCACTCTGCCTTAATACATGCAGCCTTAATGTAACTAGAAAGACTATTAATACAGTATAATATATAATTTAAAATAAAATTCAATTCTTCAATAAACTTCATTCCTTCCCATACCCACTAACATTTACCTTAGCAAAAGCTTCTGGCTTGGTTGCAAAGTAGTTGTAGAGTTTTTGACTGCATCAATAATAATGTATACGATTGGCTATATATGAAATGTTCTAGCCTAAAAATTTTAGACGAGCTTTCTTCCAACTTACCTTCTCCATCACGACCTATGATCACGACATGTGTTCGCGCGATATTGTTGGTTACCTAGTAACGAACGTACGGTGGCCGAGAATGTGTGTGCGTATACGTTCGCGCCATCTATGCGTTCGCGCGATGACCGAGAATGTTCCGTCAACTTCCGTGTGTTCGCGCATCTATGTTGCCTAGTAACGAACGCAATCTGGCCGAGATACGGACGCGCTGGCGGCAGGAAACTTCACTTTGTGTGCATGCGCCTCGTATACAACGTTATATAAAGCTTGCAGGACAACTTGGTTGGCATTGCCTTTTCAGCGTGAGAAATACATGGTGTGGCGTGTGAACTGGTTGAATTGCGTGTGTCTCACGGCCAATGCGTGAGACTTGAGAACCCTTGCGCATGCGTAGTAAAAGTATAACCTGTGGGGAAAAGGGCGATTTAAACCTTATTTTGGGGCAAAGTCATCAAACTTTTTCAGCGATTTTTTATCATAATTTACTGCTGTTTCTATACAAGCAGTTTTTATGTCCTGGTGACCAGTGAAAGTGCAGTTCTGACCTCTGCCCATTCATTTAGATAGGAGCCTGGTCTTGTTAGTCCGAAATAGCTGCCCAGAGGCGTTGCCAAGATGGCGGCCGAGTGGCATGACTTGCCTAAAAGGACTTTGACTGAACACACCGGAGCTGCCCATGTCTAAAGAACACAGTGCTGCGCTTCACTCTGAAATACACTGCGCTTATGTTTAATTAAAATCGCAGCTTTTGCGTTTTGATAATTACACTTGAGCCATATCACGATTTCGGTTTTATTTCGATTAATCTTGCAGCCCTGTCATGCACTATTTACTACTCCAAACAGGACAAAGAAGCACCATAAAGTGTTCCACAAGTCTTCTGTAGTCATCGATAGCTGAAAGTGTACTGATAATCCACAAGAACTAATTAATTTGCCGTCATTGCATCACATCTGGTGCAACATCACACACTCTATTTGAATATACGCAAAATAAATATGTGGAGGGGAAGCTTTTTAGCAAATTGGAGTACATTTTCATTCCAACGATTTCTTAAAATATGTGCCTGTCCGCAGATAAAATGCTCTAATATCATGTATTGTGTGTCTAACAGAAGCACATGTTGAAGGAGGGAAAAGGACGAATGTTACAGGCCATCAGTCCCAGACAAAGCCCCAACAGCAGTCCCGTACGCGAGGAGCGCTCTCCGTCCCCCACCTTCCGTCTTCCCTTCTTCACCACTCCGCCATTCTTCTCTCCTCCTCCTCCTCATCATCACAGCGACGATGAGGACGACTAGAAATCACGCTCACGAGCTGCTGTGGGTGTTTTCCCACATCGTTTGTGTTTTATATGCTTTCTTAAAGCGACTGTGAATAGCCAAGAATATAAATGAAGATTTATTTCAATGAGGAAAATGTATTGAACCAGCGTTTACAAAATGCACAATAGTGACCGAATTATTCCACCCGTACTTTCTAAAGGTTTTGATCCCACTTCTCCCTCTCGCTTCAGAGAGATTTGCCACACATCACTAAACCAAAAGGCTTCATATTGTTGGCCTATTCCTCGGATACATTTCGTATTCAGCCCGGACCTTGAATAATTATGCATTTTTAGTGTGTCTCGTTTTTTTTCTTTTCGGTCTGCTTGCACATAATCTCATTCGTTGTGCGTATAACTCACCCTCACCTGCCTTTATTGTCTAGATCTTTTCATACTTGAACAGGGGCCAAATGTGAGACTTATTCCGGGATGAGGGTGGGATCCCAGGATCAGTCGTCTCTGTATAGTTACTGTGTTTAGTCTTGCTTTATAACTCGAATTTAAAGTCTGCTTTTATTTTTCACTCATACTTTTGGAACGTTAATTTGTCTTTCTGACTCTTCTTGTTTCTGCTGAAGTTCACTAGTTGTTTCTCCTCATATGAACTCGCTTTCAGACTCTAATGTGAAGTAATAATTTTGGGGCCTGGCAGTGACGGAGTCTGGCACCTCTATTTAAACCCTGGGCTATTCTGTGGCACGGGTCCCAGCCTTTTTGGAAAGGATTTGCCTGCTGAATGTTTACATTACCCAAGCCCAGTGAGGAACAGTGTTAACACGAAAGACTACGAGGACCTGTTTGTTTACATGTTTGCATAGGACAGGAAGAAGTCCGAAGGATTACATGTTTGCCAGCAGACAAAAAGATGACTTTGGCTTTCCTGTGGTCAGGAATATTATTAAGACTTGATTCATTTTAGATGATCATTGGGAATCAAAAGAACTCTGTGAACAATGCCAGTGAACCACTAAACCATATTAAAAGAATAATACATTTGTCTTGTGTCGTGTTACTCATTCATGGGGACCAAAAGACACACCATGAACCTTTAATGTCCAATAATATAAGATAAAAAAAGATGATTAAAAACAACTAACATTAACCTGTCATTTCTGAATAGTTAAATAGGCATAACAGCAGATACAGCCAACATCGGTTACAGATGCATGATAATTCAAGTTACATTTCTGCTTTCCAAATTCTATAACTAGTTCTAGCAGTTGCCCTGTGTGTACAGTAGGAATCACGCAGCACGTGTAAACAAGGCTGTATTTCCTACCGTAGATGACATGCCCTTCACGACACGTGTCTGAAATCTTTTATTTCATGTCTTGGGGGGAAAGACAATAATGAGTCCATGACATAGAAGGAAAGGTTAATAAGCTGCTATTCTCATATCTGCCAGTCACAGATCCACGTCTGCCTTGAAGGGCTTCGATTCATAGACGTCGTGAGTGGACTTCAACAAGGGCCGCAACACAACTTCATTTCGTTTTAATTAAATAAACTATAACAAATAAAAGGCTAAAGGCCCATTCACACCAAGAATAATAACTATATTGGCCTCCACACCATCATTCTGTTTATTATAAGTGCTTGCAGTTTTGTCATCTGCCGTTTGCTCGAGCTCTTTAAAATCAGGTGGATTCTGATTGGCTGTCAAAGATTTATTGTTCATCAGCTGGGGGGAAAAAATCTTTCTGAAGTTATTCCAATAATAATGTTCCTGTGTACAAAGTTATAAATGATTTTATTATATCTAACTTTATCCACATACACAGTACTCGCGTAGGGCGATATATAATATAGCAAATCTCAGCTGATTGATTGCTTGCTTTATCGTAAAATGTAAAATATATTATCACCCAGCTCTGACAAAAATGTTCTGAAAACGTTTTACTAGCATTCCATTAAGTTATGAAAATGTTATTTCTGAATCTTCTCTGAACATTCAAAAATGTCCAGTTTAAAAAAAAAATAATAATTTTGATCATAATGCAAATATTATGGAATTGATATTGGAACTTTTGAATGTTCTTTCAACATTCTGAAACAAGTCCAATCATTTAAAAAATGTTGGGTGAACATCCAACAATTTTTTTTTGGTTGAAAAAACCATTCCATGAACGATGTATAAATGTTTCTGTGCTAACGTTTTTTTGATATCATTATCAAATACGAGATCACTGAACATTAACATTACTGGAATCATGTTAGTTCATATCTTTCAGAGAACCTTGCCAAACATTAGCCAAAGTTCTGAGCACATTCCCTGTTAGCTGAGAATCTGCTGAATGTGAACGAAGATTGAAGATATTAACATATTATTAGCATTAACATTATGATTATTAAAACATTAATGTTATAGTCCTTGGTGTGAACAGCCCTTAAAACCACAAAAAATCAGTGACTTCACATGCACCGCTGATCTTTTTTCACTGTAGAGAATTAAATTGTACCTTTTCAAACAAATTTTGTTTTCCCCTCAATTGGTCTACATTGTTTATAATGTTTAAATTCAGATTCGCACCTTCAGAGATTTTAAGCATCTATGAAACTATTTATTATACCTCAGAAGTGGCATTTACGTTAATTAAAAAAGCGAGCACCTTTGTCGTCGCTGCAGCAGACGTGCAACAGGAAATCCAGTTGGTGGTCCTTACAAACATTGTCTTGGACAACATGGGACCTCAGAGTTACGAAGGTCAGGATCCACTGCTTGTGCAGGTCGTCCATTACGACGCTGACCTCCAAACAGAGGTGTGTGCGCTGCCGAGTGGTCTTGAGCCCTGGAGGTAGAGCAAGTGGTCAATACGTCCAGCGTCCGTCACTCCATCAGCTGTTGTTGGAGGACTGCTCTGGCTTCAGCCGGATGGCCCAGGAGTTGGCAGAGACCACGTTACCGCGCCGATGGATGCGGCAGGTGTACGTGCCTTCATTGAATTCATTGGCCAAGAGCCGCAGGTCCCGATCTTTAATTGCGATATAGCCAGGAATGGATGTCAGCAACTGCTCTCCGTCTTTATACCAGCTGCCGAAAGACGAAACAGAGAAGCCGACTGAAACTAAGCTTCAAAAATGATGCATTCCATAACTTGGAACTTAACATAACTTAAGTTACATCAAACATAAGACTACATGTGCACATGAATGGTGCCTATTTGGTGATTTAACAGTGAATGTTCATCTTAAAATATTTCACAAAGATTTTACAGCAAAAAAGACATGTGAACCACAACCTGAATTGTTTGCAATTATTTTACTACAAGGCCTTTTGCCAGGGCTTGACATTAACTTTTTTGCTCATCAGCCACTGTGGCTAGTAGTTTTCCAAAGTTACTAGCCACTCATCATTTTCACTGGCCACAATTGAGACATCGATACTATGGGGAGAAAATACCATTTAGACTTTTGTTTATATTATCGCTTAATTTGGCAGAAGGTATATTAGGCTGCTGTCACTTTAAGACCTGACGCATGGATCTATTCATCTTTTATACTGTTCTTTCTCAACTGTTTACGTTCACTTAAAACATAACTGACTGTGTTTCGGTGATTACGTGCCAAGACCGGCATTTTGACATTAGTTTGTGTGTATTTGACTGTTTAAGCACAATAAGCGAAAAATAACTCAATTTAGTACTGAGACGCAGCTATGCACGTACTTTGGGTGTGATCACAAAATCTGTGGGAATGAGTAAAATTATGAGCAATACACGCAATCCCATGCCGAAATTCAAACCCTGTAACACCAACAATTTTCATCCAGAGCAAATGAAGCGAGTGAGTGAGTGGAGGCGGGTGTTCATGTCAAACCCTGCCTTTTACTTGCTAAAAAAAGTATAATCAGACAACAGAAGGCATGTAGTAGATTGTGTGCAACAGGTTTTTCAGCAATGTTTTGATTGTGTTGATCATTTAGAGGCCTACAAATTGTGCGTATCAAATATGAATGATGCAGTGGGCTTTATAGGGTTAAGGATACTCTACCTGACTTTTGGAGGCACTCTGGTATTTTTTGTCCCACAGCGGAAGCCCACAACTTTTCCACGAGGCACAATTTTGATCTTAACATTTTCAGGCGGAGGGGTCGGGGTAGACACTGCATCCAGAGGCTCTGAGGAGCAAACAAACACTTTAAAGAGTGTGTAAGTTCCTATTATTCACTACCTAATGTCTGTCCACCTGCATGAAGAAGAATATTGTGTGTAAGTGAAAGGCTATAGATGGGCAGTTAATGTTGGAGGAGGATGTTTTGAGTGTCTCACCGAAGCACAGGTCGCACCGCTGTGGGCAGTTTTTCTTCATGAAGCTCCGTCTCCTCTCACAGAAACCCAACCGGGCCCAAGGATCACACACACGCTTCTTGTCCAAGCATCCTGAGGCAGATGATAGAAACAAGCTTCAGCTTGAAGAGATTTGAGCATTGTGGACCAAGCATTTTCTCTATTATAAATTGCAGTCTGACTAGAAGTTGTGTTCCTTCGAGCCTCAAGCATGCGGTTGCACAGCCTCTTCTTAAAAAGGCCGGCTTAGATCCTACAGATCCAAATAATGTTTCGGCCTATATCTAAGCTACCATTTTTATCTAAAATATTAGAAAAGATTGTTTTTAATCAACTTCATTTTTAATGAAAAAATTTGTTTTTTGATACATTACAATCTAGTTTTAGATCAGGTCATAGCACAGAATCAGCTCTTCTTTAGAGTAGCTAATGACATTTTATTGAAAACTGACTCTGGTAGTTTTGCTGGATCTTAGCGCAGCATTTGACACGATTTACCATACCTTTTATCCTTATTGAACGTCTAAGGCACTATGGCAAGCATACTATGTGGTTAATATACTGTAGCATGCCCTGTTTAACTTAAGTCATGTGACTTCTACTACACAAGTAGGTGTCTACACTCACCTAAAGGAATATTAGGAACACCTGTTCAATTTCTCATTAATGCAATTATCTAATCAACCAATCACATGGCAGTTGCTTCAATGCATTTAGGGGTGTGGTCCTGGTCAAGACAATCTCCTGAACTCCAAACTGAATGTCAGAATGGGAAAGAAAGGTGATTTAAGCAATTTTGAGCGTGGCATGGTTGTTGGTGCCAGACGGGCCGGTCTGAGTATTTCACAATCTGCTCAGTTACTGGGATTTTCACGCACAACCATTTCTAGGGTTTACAAAGAATGGTGTGCAAAGGGAAAAACTTCCAGTATGCGGCAGTCCTGTGGGCGAAAATGCCTTGTTGATGCTAGAGGTCAGAGGAGAATGGGCCGACTGATTCAAGCTGATAGAAGAGCAACTTTGACTGAAATAACCACTCGTTACAACCGAGGTATGCAGCAAAGCATTTGTGAAGCCACAACACACACAACCTTGAGGCGGATGGGCTACAACAGCAGAAGACCCCACCGGGTACCACTCATCTCCACTACAAATAGGAAAAAGAGGCTACAATTTGCAAGAGCTCACCAAAATTGAACAGTTGAAGACTGGAAAAATGTTGCCTGGTCTGATGAGTCTCGATTTCTGTTGAGACATTCAGATGGTAGAGTCAGAATTTGGCGTAAACAGAATGAGAACATGGATCCATCATGCCTTATTACCACTGTGCAGGCTGGTGGTGGTGGTGTAATGGTGTGGGGGATGTTTTCTTGGCACACTTTAGGCCCCTTAGTGCCAATTGGGCATCGTTTAAATGCCACGGCCTACCTGAGCATTGTTTCTGACCATGTCCATCCCTTTATGACCACCATGTACCCATCCTCTGATGGCTACTTCCAGCAGGATAATGCACCATGTCACAAAGCTCGAATCATTTCAAATTGGTTTCTTGAACATGACAATGAGTTCCCTGTACTAAAATGGCCCCCACAGTCACCAGATCTCAAGCCAATAGAGCATCTTTGGGATGTGGTGGAACGGGAGCTTCATGCCCTGGATGTGCATCCCACAAATCTCCATCAACTGCAAGATGCTGTCCTATCAATATGGGCCAACATTTCTAAAGAATGCTTTCAGCACCTTGTTGAATCAATGCCATGTAGAATTAAGGCAGTTCTGAAGGCGAAAGGGGGTCAAACACAGTATTAGTATGGTGTTCCTAATAATCCTTTAGGTGAGTGTATTTGCCATTGTTACTTCCTGTTTTTACAACTGAAGATGGTGTTTGGAAAAACATCGAGACGTCTTGCTAACTTGTTTTTATGCAGTCCAGTGACTTTTAATAAATAATTAGTTTGAACATTTTATTACCTGGATGTTTTAGACATCATGAATCTACATAGGCAAAACTTTTTCTGTTAAAATTGAAAAGTTCTCGTCATCTATAGCTTCTATTTCCTGTGGGGTCTCTCAAGGTTCTATTTTGGGACCAGTGTTATTTTCATTATATTTGCTTCCTCTTAGTTCTGTTTTTAAGAAATATAGTATTTCTTATCATTTTTATGCTGCTGACACCCAGATGTATTTGCCTATAAAGTCTGGAGATAATGCATCCATTACATCACTTTTTGAATGTCTAAAAGATGTAAAATGTGGATGAATAATATCTTTCTCCAGTTTAATAAGAAAAAGACAGAAATTATTATATTTGGCCCTAGTAGGATATAGCAACGAGTCTAGGTCCTCTGTCATCCAATCTGCATACTTATGTCAAGAATCTGGGAGAGTTAAAGAGTTAAAGTTTGACAGACAAATCAATTTAGTTGTGAAGAATAGTTTCTTTCAACTGTGAAATATTGCTACATTTAAATCTGTCGTATCTTTCAGTGATCTGTAGAAAGTAATCATGCTTTTATTTCTTCTTTCTCTTGATTAATGCAATGCTTTGTACCTGGGTGTAAGTCAGTCCTCACTGTCACGTCTCCAGTGTCTTCACCAATCATTTACATTTTACATTTACATTTATTCATTTAGCTGACGCTTTTATCCAAAGCGACTTACAATTGCTATATATGTCAGAGGTCGCACGCCTCTGGAGCAACTAGGGGTTAAGTGTCTTGCTCAGGGACACATTGGTGTCTCACTGTGGATTCGAACCCGGGTCTCTCACACCAAAGGCATGTGTCTTATCCACTGCGCCATCACCACCCCCTGGTGTTGTCAGCTGATGCAACAGCTGATGCATAGAACCAAGTCTACTTCCATTTCATCACAACTTTAAACACCTACATTTTGCTTACCATAAAGGCGCCGGATGCCCCAGATATCATCTTGAGCGATGTTCCGCTGACCTGTGTACGTTGCATTGGGGTGCATTAATGCATTAGGGTCCTGTGAATGCCAGAGACCTAAAGCGTGACCGATTTCATGAGCAGCTACCTGAACCAGGTCGTTCAGCCACACACCTGTGCAGAGACAACACGCGATAAAATCAAAGAGTAAAGGACAAGAAGAATGGATGTTAATATTTGTTTCTCTTCAATTTCCTCAGTTTTGAACACGACTAACGTTTTATTAACTATAACCCTAACCTATCAGTCTACTAATACTCTAATTAGAGTTAGTTGACGTGTAGCTGACAAGTTACTTATAGTAGAAGGTCTAAAGTGTAAGCCAAAAATCATCTGGTGCTTTCCATTTCCATCATCTCGTATTTTGTCTGAAACCTACATTTTGCTAGCCTGGATGCCAGCCGAACTTAGCCCCGCCCACAACATTTGAGGATGGTAAGTTCGGTCTCTGGACTTGATCCGTTGTGAAGCAAGTATGCCCGAACCAAAGCTGTTCGGACCAATCAAATTGTCAGGGCGGGCTTTATACGATGATGACAGATGATCAACCGTAACCTAATCATCCAATCATCCATCATTCATTTTAAAAGAGGAACAGAGAACCGCGATCAAGGCATTTGTCGATCCAATTGAGTCCAGAGGCATTTTCTTTCCTGGTTGGGTTGAAACACGCCCCATAATCACAGCCCAATGGAGCAGTATCAGACTCACATTCTGACTAGAATCTGAGTATGATGACGTCAGGCTAACTTTTTGCACTAAAAATTTACAGAATTCAGATTTAGGTCAGACAATTCAAGGTCCTTGTGGGCCAAAAGTGAGTCACTGGAGGTCAAATACACCAGCAACACTTCTGCATATTCACACATTTTTTTTAAGTTGTCATTATAGCGCCACCCATCTGTCAAAAGTTTTAAGTTATAAAAATGTATAATCATTGAGAAGAGTATTATCTGTATTCTGACTAGCACATCCACCCACTTTCACAAATAAATGTATTAGATCAGCACCTTGTTTCCAGCTGAATCGGGACTTTCCCAGAATCCAGAATTCATGGTTGTCAAAGTGGATTTCTCCACGTGGAGGAAGGAAGGCGTGGGCCAGCTCACCGTTCAGTCCGTCAAAACAGGGGTGCAATGGAGACCGCCAACAATCGGTGTGATTGTACGTGTAGAACCCTGTCTCAGAAAAAGGAGAGTTTCATGCAAAAATTGGAGATTAAAAAACTGCATAAAATAACCTGTCAGCCAGCCAAAGTGCACATGCCTGATGTTTTGGCTCTTTTCCTGCAGAATTATTTACCTATAGTGATGTCAGCACTTTTGTTGGGGTTGGTGATTTCAGTGAAAGCCAGAGGAGAAACATCACTCCATTTCGTGAAGGCGATGCTGATAGCTTTGCGGGTATCATCTTTATTCAGTGTGTTGGGGAACTTCGTGATCCTTTAAGAGGGAGAAACGCAAATTACTTTCAGCCAAAAACGAATTTCATGTTTTTTGAAAGAGTCTTTGTGTCTCCTATCAATCAGAAATCACATTTACAAAAGCCGAACACTCCTGAATTCAATCTGCTGGTCCCAAAATATCCATCATCATCATCTGAACCCCAGATTACTTCTTTTGTCCACCTCTTGCATCTGTCTGTTCATACTTTAAGCATTCGCCAATCATGGCCATTAATAGAAAGGCTTTCCTTCAGAAAGTCAATTATAAAGTATATTAAAATAATGTCTTTATTGATTTTCCTGGTGGTCTCCTGTGTCTCTCTCACTTGTAAGTGATGTTAAAATGCTCCCACTTGTATCCCAGTGGGTTGATGGCATAGCGCTTGGATCGGGCCGGACCTCGATGAGACCTCGTGTCCACAGGTGCCGGTACCTGGACACATGGTTTATGCAACTGAATACTGGCCACCTGAGAGGAAGATAGAAAAAGGGAAGCTTATATGTTGTGTGTTTGATTTTGAACATTGTTAACATACTGTATGTTGTGTGTAATGTCCTCATTTAGCAAACCACCAAGTCAAATGTGTAGCACAAATGATGATTCTGATCCACATGAGTAATTCTGATCATATTTTAGAGGTGATTCTGGAGATCCACCTTCCGGCAGAATTAAGCGCCAATGTATCCTGCTTAATCTTCAGGAGAGATGGTGAGTTCAAGTCGTATTTATGAGTTGGGAAGTCATGTTTACGACGTCAGGTGTGTCACTTTAATCAGAGCAAGATGGCGGTGTACCTTCTCTTAATTATTTCCATAATAAGTACTCTTTTAAAACTTTGCTAAAGTGTACTTATTTTTCACAAGGGATAATCTAATCTCAGATATGTGAACTTTAGGAGAGCAAATAAACTAAATCAGGAGAGCAACTGACAGCATTCTGCTCAGATGTTCAGCTGTTGTGTGTTTCGTTTCTCTTCTACCTGCTCATCATATCAGTATCTGCAGTCAGAAGCTCTGTGCAGCCGAAGGTTTGGAATATCTGCCACCCATATGTGAACGCTCCCCTTCCCCCATGACCTTCAACACTGTTCCTCTCTCTTCCTCCTCCTTTTGATCTTTGCAAAATTTTACAACTCTCTCCAGAAAGAAATGCACGTTTCAGTGGGACAAATGAGTAACATCAAGATTTTAGGTCAAACATATCGTAGAAAAAGGACGTTTTTCCCCCCCCGAAGTTGTGGGTAAAACATTATTGGAGTACGAAAATACTATTAGAACAAGAAAATAATAGGCGGTCACACTTTAGATGAGGGTCCGATTCTCACTGTTAACTAATTATTAACTACAACTTTTGCCTTAGTAAACTCCTAATGACTTCTTATTAATAGTTAGTAAGGCAGTTGTTAAGTCTAGTATTAAGGGATGTAGAATATGGTCATAATAAGAAATTAATGTGCTTTATAAGTACTAATAAACAGCCAATATCCTAGTAATATGCATGCTAATATGCAACTAGTTAATAGTGAGAATTGGACACTAAAATAAAATGTTACCAAATAAGCTATTATTTCAATATTCACCTTTAATTCAATGTGTTACTTGCAATTATTTGTGAAATTTACAAGCAATTTTACACCATTTATTTGTTTTCAACGTATTTATTTATATACTAGGCTATGTTAAACATAAAGGAAAGTGTTAATTGTAGGCGACACTATTTCTTTCAAGATCATTTCTTTCTGCGGTTCCCTTCAATAGTCCTCTGCGAGAGAAATGGATTTTAAAAAAAGTAAATATTGTCTATACATAAAAAAATGCATGCATGAAAATGATAAATTAATTAGAAAATGGTGTTTAAAATCATGTGGATTATACAGGCATGTCAGATGTCCCTGTTACACTTATGCTGGAGGGCTCCATTTTCAGTTCATGTTTATGTACGAGAACTAGACCAAAAAGCAGAATATGAGGTTGACATGATATTGAGCTCTTACCGTGTGTTTTGTCCACGCAGGCACGGCCACAGCACAGTTATCCAGCACCATCAGCAACAGCGCACAGGAACAGACCCAGCGCATCTTTAAATCACACATACAACTTCCACTTTTTTACCTTCCACTTTGTGTTTGCGGTTCATCCATAAATTCTTGAGTAAGAAAGTATTTCCACAGAACTAACCGCATCCAGACGCGCGCGCGCCTGTGCTGAAGACAGATGTGCCCGCGCCTCCGGACAGAGATTCGTGCGAATGTTTCAGTTGACTGTGTTTAGACTTTATTTAATGCACTTCTGCTTCTTGCTCTGAACTTTCACTCCCTCACAGGGGTGCAGGAATGATCCCGCAGGAGCATAAAGCACCGCCCTGCTCCAATCTCCTCCCTTTACTCTTCAAGCATGTGTAGCCTGTTTATATCCTATAAAGCCTCACGATATCATAATTATCCGAAATGTTGCGAGTATTTATTATCCGCGTTGTCTTCTCGTCTTCACGACGAATGCAAAAACGTAAACGTTTTTCCTCACAGTGACCTGAGAGAATTTTCAAGTTCTCAAGTTTGGCAGCGCCAATATTCAGATCACGTCACCTGGGTGATGTCACCACGCCAATGTCATATCTATTCAATTAGCAGAAATAAAAATCATTAAAATGAAATAAAATAATTTCTTCAACAAAAATTCAGTTGTAGGGAAAAAAAAAGAGAAAAAAAAAGTATTTTTTGTTTAAAAAAAACACACACTGATAATTCCTCTTTATTTTCCCTAAATGGTCATTATAGGGGTCGTTTTCCCCAACGTCAACACCCCTAGTAAGTCTCAACAGGGATTTTTTTTCTTCACGTGCCTGCGAAAAAGTATTTGGCAAGAAATCATTAGAGAAAGTAGAAAAGCTTACCTCACTTTCAACATCCATTTCTGCAGTTTCATTGGTATCATGCTTGAATTCCAAGTGAACATGCAAGGGAGCATTTTGAAAAGGCCACAAATTAAGCATGCTTAAGTTGCGCTCATTAAAAATCCATTGTGTAGAAATGCAGATTTTGGCATAACACACGGCATTCATGGCCAAACGGCCCTGCAGTCTCTACCCCTAACCTCATTAGTTTGGTTGACCTTCAGAGAGTTCGGGAACAGCCTGGGTTTTTTTCACAGTGCTTTACTTTAACTCTCACATCACTATGGAGAGAAGTCAGTCTCTCTGAGAGGAAGTCAGTCTCTTATGATGGATTTATTTCTTTGACCTGCAGGGTCAGTGTGGCTACATGCTGTTCAATGCTGTTTGGCTTCACATTCACGATGCACCAGGCAGCTTTTTGTAGGCATCTAAAAGACGCTGCGGTTACTCAAAAGTTCGCCTTGTATACCAACAAAGACCGGGCACCCATTCAGCCCCAAATAGCTAATCCGATATTTTAGAATCAAATTACGACTGCTTTCGCATATCCGTAAGCACAAGGCCATTGAAGGTTCTTCACTCAATCCAACTGAAGACAGCAAGTCACATTTATTTACATAGCGCTTTACACAATACAGATGGTTTCAAAGCAGCTTCACATTGATAAAATAGGGAAATTACAGTGTTAAAGGGATAGTTCACTTTGAAATTAATTTTTGATATGTTTTAGCTTACCTCAAGGGCATCCAAGATGTAGGTGTCTTTGTTTCCGCAGTAGTTTCAATTTTGATATTTTTAGGTCAAACCGTTCTTGTCTGTCAGTCATATAATGCAGGTCTATGGTCACCACCTCAAAGAGCATGCACAGAGAAGTCCAAATTAAACATGATTTAATGACTCGTAAATGTAAGTACACATTGATGGCCTAAGACACGAAACGAGCGGTTTGTGTGAGAAAACGAACAGTATTTATATCGTTTTTACCTCTTGTAACCACAGCCACTTCCAAGTGATCTGAGGGCGCGGGCGCTTCGGTCTGTGCGTTTATTTCACAATTTATTTCAAAGTGAACTATCCCTTTAAGGCCCGTTCACACCAAGGACAATAACTATAAAGATAACTATAACATTAGTGCGCACAGGCACAGCACACCAGACGATAGCATAAATTGTTTATTAAGCACGCGCTGCTGCTGTCGTCTGCCGCTTTAAATACTCGTGCTCTTTAAAGTCTGATTGGCTGTCAATGCTTTTATCGTTCAACAGCTGGAAAAATATCAAAATCGATCTGAAAGTGATTCGTGTCTCTGTGCCGTTATCGTTATAATTGTGGTATATGGACTCGGCTATTCTTTCATATTTAGAATGATAACGTTCTGCTAGTGTGGACACTATATAGTTATCATCCTTGGTGTGAATGGGCCTATGTTGTAAACGTTTTTATAGAAATCAATTTAAGCTTTAAAGCACTCTACAGAAGACAATAGTGTCATTTTTCAGCTCAATGTTGATTCAATTCAGTTCAATAACAAGTTCAATTCATCTGTAAGGAGCTACAGAAGCTGAATCCACAATTCATGTACTTATGCACTATTCAATGACGTTTTGTAGTATAAATAGAGTGAGTGTGTCCGCACTGAAAATTGAAAATGAAAAAGTGCACTTTAAATACTCGGATGATGCACTTAACTCAACGAAAAAGTGTGGAATATTGGACACTTCTTGCACTCAACAGTCACAGCTTTATTACATAGTGGAGGGGGAGGGGCATCAGACTCCAATGTTGAGTGACAAAAAACAAACAAACATAAAATTCATACACTACACGGTTGAGTACATAGTGCGTCATTTAAGACACAACTATAGTGTCATTACTCGGTGAGCTGACTGGTTTTCATTGGGATTGCAGTGACACCACTGAATGAACAAAGTATGGAATTCCTGAAGCAGAGAGAAACATGGATTTGGAGAAGGGCACCTGAAAGGCAGCCTCATATCTTTTGCGAGTGGTTTTGAATCTGGCTGGAGGCCCAGGCTTTGGCTGCACTCCAGGTGACTGCGGAACCGGGGGCTGCTTGACCCTTCGCTGTCACTCACTCTGGGAAAGAGCGGAAAAGAAAGGGAGAGGGAGACGGAAGGACGGAGGAGAAAAAGAGTAGCAGGACAGGAGATTCTCTTTCAGGGGCCCTGAGAGATGAGAGTTTAATTGGCCATCGATCCATCAGTAGGTCCTCTGGCTCCTGCACCCACTTAATGATTGGCCATGACGTCAGCCTAAATACTCACACTAATGAGTGACTTCCCACACAAACACCCCCTGCCCATCCCTGCTGCAGGAAAATAACTCCCAACCAGCTCTAACCTTTCGACAGAACGCTTCTCCAGACCACCAGCAATGCGACGGACACAACAAATACAGCGCTTTGGAAAGAGTATGCATTCCTAATGAAATATTTCTATTTGAATATATTTTAAAATGTAATTTATTTCTGTGATCAAAGCATCATTACTCCAGTCTTCAGTGTCACATGATCCTTCAGAAATTATTCCAATATGATGATTTGCTGCTCAAGAAACATTTCTGATTATCAATGTTGAAAACAGCTGTGCTGCTTCATGTTTGAGATTGATTTATTTTTTGATAAATAGAACAGCATTTATTTGAAATAGAAATCTTTTGTAACATAAATGTAGTTACTGTCACTTTTGATCAATTTAATGCACCCTAGCTGAATAAAAGTATTATTTTTTTTTGAATCAAATATAAACGGATTTATCTTATATTTTGTAGAGCCATCCTATGCAGAAATGACATAAACACATGATCTACCATTTTCAAACTGATGCATTATTAAAAAGATAGTTCACCCCAAAATGAAAATTTAAGTCAGCCTCATGTATGACTTTCTTTCTCCTGCAGGACACAAAAGATATTTTGAAGAATGTTAGTAACCAAAACGTTTTTCTGTGGCCATTGACCTTCACATTTCTAAAAAATATCTTCTTTTAATGTTCGACAGAAGAAAAAACAAGTCATACAGGTTTAGAACGACATGAGGGTGAGTAAATGAAGACAGAATTGTCATTTTATCTCAATAAGCCTAATGTCAAACGTCTTGTTTTTACATGGTTCATTCTTGAGGAACAGTATTTTTTTTGTGCCACCCATCCAAACAGATTGATGTTACGCAGAACTCTTGATATGTTTGACCAAAGCTCCTTTACTTCTTGTACTAAACAAAGCCATTGAACATTAAGGCTATTCAAACACTCATAGCGCTTGGGTTTGGGTGGTTGACGTCATTCGACTTTCCTCCACATATCCTCAGAACTGAAATTATTTACAAGGTTCTACACATTTCTTGCAGCTTGTGTGTTCACATATTCAATATTTTGGCAAAGTTGATTAAAAGCATCTAGAGTAGTACAGTACACTGTGCCCAATATAAATCCACATTTAAACCCATCCATAAAGAGGTCTGCAGATTCACCCGGCCTACTGATAGTGAACTAGAAAACCTCCAAACGCTTGTTTGGAATGGATATGTTTGCATAGATATCTAGATTCTCATCCTTGGTTAGATACAAACCTAACATTTAAAGCTGTAGTCGGCAAATCTAGCAGATTGAGTGGATTTAGGAAAATTTTGAATGTTTACGACTCTTATGCCCCTCCCCCACTATCAACGGATACCCTCCTACGTGTTCATGCTCGTCAGTGCGTGTGCACCAGATTTTCAGTGAACGCGCCCGTCTCATCAGCATCCATCAACACCATGGAGTATTTGGAGGTATGCTGTCCTGGCTAATCTACCGATAGATTGCAATTGCTAACGTCATTTATACTCTAAATGAGCTTACTTGATTTTCCGCCATCACTCTTCGTTACTGCGCGAACTTCCGCGAACTTCAGGCGTGTGCATGTGATTGTAACGGGTCGGGCGCGAGAGGTGGCGTGTGCCCGATCTGTGATTGACAGTCAGATCTCACACCCCCCTACGCTGATTGGACATAATGAACCGGGAGCTATGGATTTTTGCTCTATGATTTTCAGTAGCACCTCAATGCAGTACATAAGATCCACGGGGAGGAGTCGGATCAAGATCCGAGGGGTGGAGATGGGTAGGATTAGGGGTGGGTTTAGGGATTAGGGGTGTGTTTAGGGATCAGGGGGCGGAGATGGGTAGGTTTAGGTATATGTAAGGTGGGAGGAGTTGGATCTGGATCCGACTCCTCCCCGTGGATTTCATGTTCTGCAGTGAGGACCATCTCATGATTTTTGCAAAACAAATAACACGCTCCAGGTGGAGTTAGAAGTTCGGGGTTTTTTCTAAAACCACTTTATTTATGTTGTTTCCTTCAGATTATAGTGTCGATTTCACTGAATATGATAAAAAAAATGTTGCCGACAGCTTTAATGAAGAATTCGTAATTGTCAATCATGACAAAGATTGAGAGAAGACTTGAATACCTTATTTAAACTTGCATACAAATGGAACAATATTTATATAATATATAAAAAAACACTAACTCCAGTAAGAGTAATTGATTACACATTTTATTAGGATTGAGACAACATCACAAAGTTAGAAGACGATACACTGCAAAAGGAGCCTCATCATCTCTCAGAGCTGAAACACACTGAGGTCAGACGGTGTAAGTTTATGACCAAAACGTTCAAGATGATGCACACTTAAATCTGCAGGGTCGAGTTTGTAGTGTTGTCTAAAACATAACGTAGATAGCACAAACGTCGAGGGCAGACATTAGTTTTTGTCGACTAAACTGTGCTTCCATCTCTGTGCTGTTCAACCAAAATGCCTTCGCATTAAGATAAATCCTCCGGCGTCTTCCGCGGAGTGAAGAGTTGTCATGCACATGAAAGGAGCCGGCACAGTGTTCTAGACCTTAAAGGCAGACACGGCTTATATGTTTTGACATCTCCAAAATCTCCTGCCTTAGATCAAGACTAAGGAAAGAGGTTTAGAGATCATCCCGAGGAGGAACTCCCTAATATTCCAGCCCCTCTCTTAAGTATTTAGCAAAATGCATCTTTTTGAAGTTGCATTTGCAGGCAAACTAATCTCAGGAGAAATGTTGAGAGATTTCGCCGATCCAAGGACTGGATCTTCAGTCAAGCAAACAACGTGGTAGATGATGATAAAAGTTAAAGTGTGTGACAGAAAGAAATGCTAAGCTCACAAATGCAAAGTCCCTGAGAGATGTTGGGGACCCCTGACCCACACACGTACACACCAGTCGCTATATGACACCAAATGAAAGTCTATATGACATCGTCTGAATCAGCATGGTGGTTTTGTTACAGTATTGTATATGCACACAGACAGCTGGACTTAAGCATTAGTACGATTTGTTGTTTCGATTCAAACATCCTCACACCTCATTTTGGTCACATTGAAAAATTATTTTATATTTAGACAAAAAAAATTAAGACAAAATGGTAACTTGCGTACGTAAAACCATTTTTATGGACAATGGAAAGTTAACTCTCAAGAACATTGTGGGGGCCATTGGCTTAACATTTACACCAGTTCACTGAGAACAAGAACGTGGACGATACCGAACTAATACTCTTAGGAGGGACCACTACAAAAATGAAGCATGAAGGGTAATGTTTCCAGGGTCCAAATTAGCAGACAGAGACTAAGGAGCAGGAAATGGCCACACTGTGAGCAGGAACACAGGTTCAGCGCTAATCACGCGATGAAAAGGGCCCCACATTAGCTGGGAATCAATGGGGACTGGGGGGTCTGGAATGCATCTTGTGGAAGAATTAGAAAGGAGAAATGAGTGGGGGTTTAAATCTCATCTTATAGCAAGTGGAGCGGGTTCATGAGGATAAACTATTTTTAATCATTGCAGATAAACTACGTTTTATTCTCAAGGTGGATTTGTGAGGTTTTAGATGTTCTTTTAGTGTTTCCCTTTGTTGATGCTTTCGTTGTGAACAGAGCCCCGTATAAAAAGTTGAGGGAGGGAGGGAGGGAGGGGAGAGTGAGACAATGAATAACTCCATTCTCCTCGTCCTCTGTTCATCCCGCCCATCTATTGGTCTACGTCTCTCCGCCCTCCTCACGGAGGGGCTGCTGTTAGCAGCGGGTCTCATAGATGCCACTGCGGCCGATGTAACGCACCCATTTGATGACATCATGGTCGCTGTAGTTCAGCTTCGGCTCGAAGACCTTCAGGTAGCGCACTTTCAGTCCTGATGGAGCAAAGGGTACCTGGAAAGAGACACTTAGCTTGGTTAAACAGAGACTGCCTAAAGAAAATCATCCATCTAAAGACAACATTTCTTAACAAAACACGATGAGGTTTCATTAGTAAACATTAACTAAGATTAAAGATGTAGAAGTATTTTTCATCATCCATGTTTATCTCAGGATTTACTAATAGATTTTTAAGATCAAAATTTGGATCTGTTAACATTATTTAATGCATGGTGAGCCAATTTTTATTGACTAACATTAAAAAAAGGTTAATAAATTATGAAAAAATAATAATATATATTATAAATCGATATAATTTGTAAAGTGTTACCCCAAAACATTTTTAAACTGGCATACTATTGTTTCAGCATAACTGGTGTGCCACTTAACAGAACAAGAACACAAATTTCCATCCAGTTTTAGAGACTATGCTGTTGTAGAATAATCGCAGAACATCCTGAACAAGAAGTCAATGTCTGCATCATGTGTGAAAGAGGTTCTTCAGGGATTCAAGCTGACCTCAAAGTTCATTGAGATGGGTGGGCGAGCCCACTTCTTTTTGTCATTAGTGGGTAGCAGCTCAATCTCAGCGCTGATCTGAGACTCCTTCATACCAGCCATTCGCTTGATCCTACAAAAGAACGAACAACAAAAATCAGGTCATGGATATTCAACACCTATTTGATCCATAAATTCACATGGCTTTTCCAGTTGTTCATGAGTATTTTTAAAGAGGGCATGAAATAAATTCTCCCTATTTATTTTCGAAATGCATGTAATGAACGAATGTTTCACACTAAGGTCTATGTACATTTAATTTTTTAAGAAAACTAACCTCATAATTTTTATCAAAATTACATAACGATCTTTTCATCTGCCTCCACTTTTGAGCGCCACACCCACATCTCAATATCCAATCAACAACTGAGGAATGAAACCAAATCCATGCTCTACATTTTTTATTATTCGGTTATTCGTTACAAACTACGATGTACGTCATAACACGGAAAAAAAGATCTGCAGCTATTTCTGTTTCATCACAACTTTAAAGACAATTTTGAAAAGGAATTTAAGTTATTTGTCAGGTACCAATCCTTGGAATTAATAGCTTTAAATGATTCTATTTATTATTGTAAGGACGGGCGGGCGGATGGATGGATGGATTAAATAAAATAATTTTCCTGACTTACGGTTCTGCAACAAACTTAAAATCCACCACTATTCCCAGGTTTTCCTTCACAGTTGGAGCACAGTTTAATACGTCTTGAAGCGAGTTTGGTTTTTATCAAATCTTCACTCAGTAGAAAGGTAAAACTAAACAGTGGGATTTGAAACCGATCATTGACATATAATGTGTTGTCAGACACAACACAGGCAAACTTTACATTTTACGACTGGCAAGAAACCTCTCAACTTGGTGCATTAATTCGCCTTTGGCTAAGCCCCGCCCCCCTTAGTTACTGTTGCTACGTCCGACAAACAAACTTCATCTGGGCTCTGGTATCAACATGGCTTATGCTGTGACAGCTCTTCCTGCTGAAATTTTATTAAACTTTTATAAAGCAGCAAATAAAGTGTCCGATAGAAGTAGGCAAAAGGGGCTGCAATATACGTTTGAAGGCTATATTCACGACATACAGGTGAAATGCAAGGAACAACAAGGCATCCAAATAGAGGCAAAAGCATACCGGTCACAGTCAAAAAATGAACCACCGCATATCCTACTAATGGAGACGGAGGCTGGGACTAACAATATCAAGGAGCAACACTGTTCATGCATAGCTGGGTAGGTCTCTATTCACTTCTATAATCGTTATTACAAAGCAAACGGACTACGCGAGTATAACGTTGTATTTATTAGCAGTGTGTGCTAGACGACACTTGTCAGGATTTGACTTCGGTTTTGGGAGGGGAAAAAAACGGACACCCCCCTCCAACCTCTCTGGGAAACGCGTATCTGTGTTACAAATGCCCCAGGCACAACGTTTAACCATATTTTTGATAAAACTACGACGGTAATAGCCGGCCGAGACCAAAAATATGAGACGCCTGTGTTAAAGTCAATGGAGCGCTGTGAAAAAGTGTCGGACCTCTGTGGGAGCTCGTTCTTGGCTGCGCTGTGATTGGTCAATCTACATTCTAGGGTGTGGCTTAGCCAAAGGCGAATTGAGATTTTAACTGATACATGGATTTTAACTGATAAGGTCTATAAAACAACAGCATCAAATGTGGCTCATTCAATCAAAATTTAGAGTCATATTTGTTTTGAGTACTTATGTTGGATAATGTGACATATTCATAAGTTACAATATTGAGTATATGTCCAAGTTCCAAATAACGAGAAAATAAATCAGATTAAGTATCTTTCATTCACTGAATTATCCTAAAACATGTCTTATTTAATATCTAACCCATTTTTATTTTATTTCATTTAAATAAATAAAAAAAACTACACTATCGTTCAAAAGTTTCAGGGTGGGTAAAATTGTTGTTTATGCAAGAAGTCTTATGTGAGTTTGGTTTTATCAGTTCCTCGCTCACTAAGAAGAAGGGTAAAATGAAACAGTGGGATATGAAACTGAACATTTTGAGGGTAATATGAGATGGCCTGATCCCTGTTTACCTTGTCAAGTAGTGATTACTTTATCCCAGATACTGAAACAAATGTCTCACCATCTGCACTGGGCAACAATTTTGCCAAAACAGATGAAAATGCAAATGAAGATAATGAACTTGTACAGGTGCTGGAGATACTTTTTTTTTTTTAAATCAAGCCGTACTTCCATACAATGGCGTTCTCACTGGCTTTGTACTTGGCTTTTCCCTTCATACAGATGACCTGAACCCCACTGGTGTTGAGTGGAGTAGGAATGCGCACCTGTAGAGACACAACCGTGATTTACACAACATGTACAACCAATATAGCACTTCCACCAGTCATTTTAAGACTAATGAAGGTTATCTCTGCTGTACGTCTCACCTCTATCTTCTGTGCCAGGAGGGAGGGCTTGAAGTTGGACTTGATCACCACCTTTACCTCCAGCTTGGTGCGGCCCACCTCACGGACCAATGGGATTACGCGGAAGGGGAGGATGATGTCTTTAGTGGTGCGGTACCTGAGACAAAGCCACTGTCATTGTGTGCTTGCGGATGCGTGTCACACAGCACAGACATACACGTACACACACTGTTCACTGACCTCATGAGCTCATACTCTCCGTCGGGAGGGATGAAGCTAATACTGCGCTCGGAGTCAAACTTGCTGAGACGGACACACTGGTGGAACGTGCAGTCATCGATCGCAATGGACTGTTTCCCACTGCAGCAGGGGACACAGAGGAGAGAAACACAACAATGAAGCAACGATCAGAGACCACACACACACACATTACTCATTAAGGGTGGGTGGCATGACGTTATATACTGTGTGAGACGGTAGAAAAGAGTCAACTGGTAGAGATTTTGATATAACGCAAGACATATATTTAGATGGCTATTGGTGAGAAGGGCTACTTTATGTATTAAAATGTTAGAGTGATGAATAATGTGAAAATACAAAGTGTGACGTATCCCAAACAAGTCAAAATGTGTTTAGATGTGTTGTTAGGCACAACACAAAAAGGTGGTTTTTACGATTGTCATATGCAACTTAATGCATTAATGGAGATTTTAATTGGTACGTGGAGTCCTTCATAACATTTAGAATTTAGAGTCGAATTTGTTTTGTGTACTTGTGTCGCATAATGTGACATTAGTTTGCTACAATAACAAAAAAGTATTTTTCATTCAGTGAATTATCAAAAAAACATGTCTTATTCAATATCTAAACCAGGTTACGCTTTATTTAAAGGTGTCCTTGTTACGGAGTACTTTTTTAGATAATATTACTCTGCACATTTTACATTTAAGTACAGAGTAATATTAATTGACAGTGTATGCATGTGTTTGGTGCATGCATGGAATTACAGTAAATACATGTAACGTGTGTAACAAGGACATTGCAAAATAAAGTGTATTCTAAACCATTTTTACTTGATTTCCATTAAAAATAAATATACTACCACTTCAAAAGTTTTGGAGACGATAAAGGTCTCGTACTCACCAAGGCTGCATTTATTTGATTTAAAAAAAAAAATCTAATAAATAATCAATAAACAGTTATATTGTGAAATATTATTACAATTTAAAATAAATATTTTTCCATTGTAATATATTTTAAAATGTCATTTATTCCCACGATACTGGGAATACATTACTCCAGTCCTCAGTGTCACATGATCCTTCAGAAATCACTCTAATATGCAGATTTGCTGCTCAAGAAACACTTCTGATTATTATCAACGTTGAAAACAGTTGTGCTGCTTTAAATAGAACGATCAAAAGAAAAGCATTTATTTGAAATCTTTTATAACATTATAAATGTCTTTTCTGTCACATTTGATCAATTTAATGCATCCTTCCTGAACAAAAGAATTCATTGCTTTCAAAAATATCATACTGACCCTTAAACTTTTGAATGGTAGTATATATATATATACAGTTATTAGATTATGCAAGATTTTGGTCATACCGCCAACCTCTATTACCTATAATGCACATCATCATGTCTTTTATACTGCCATTATGTTGGGAAGGGTGTTTGCTTCTAGCACTGTGACCACAACAAAACTGCAAGGTCTGTGATTTGCCGATTCCAGATTAGAAGAAATAAAGCATTATGCTGTGGTCAGAGGCGTTTGAGGGGTCACAAGAAAAGATATCAACTTTAACAGACTCTAATGAGAGCGGCTATCAGTTCAGGTAAGAGGTTCTTCAGTAAAACAAGACAGGGGAAAGACTGTCGGTATGAGACGAGACAAATGAACTAAAGAAAAAGCTACGCTCCTTCACTACAGCTGCTAAACACCTCACTCACATACTTCCTCGCACATCAGGAGGCAAAGGCAGCGTCATCCCATGCAAAAAGATCATCTTTATTGAGACGTTTGATGGCATGACACAAGGAGAGCTGACAAACGGCTAAGACAGGACTGAGTGAAGGTGATAGATCAGGTGATGTCCGGAGTGAGAGTTACACTACCTGCCTCCCAACTCACTGAAGTCCAGCGGGAGAGAGGAGAGAGGCACACAAATCAACAGAAAAAATGGAAAAAATAAAGGGCTAAAAGAAACGGCACCTCAGAATAAAACATTCCTCAGTAAAGATACAAATACCTACCACCACAAAAGGCAACAGGGGGGGGAGAGAGAGAGAGAGAGAGAGAGAGAGAGAGAGAGAGAGAGAGAGAGAGAGAGAGAGAGAGAGAGAGAGAGAGAGAGAGAGAGAGAGAGAGAGAGAGAGACTAAAATGGTATGTTACAGAAAATAATGGAACCAGGGAGAACGAATTTGCTCCACACGAGACTTCCTGTAATTATCGTGTCCAAATGTTCTGCACTTCACGGCACATCTTACCTTTCAGCACTTTTGTACTCCTGGGTGCCCATTAGGCTTTATCAAAAATGATGCTGAGAAGGATGCTATAATCAAAATCTGATTATAGCATATCCTATAAATGATTTAGTCCTTAAAGTCGACATGAAATGGCTTTACTTCAACAAAGTGATGCACTTCCAAGTAAAACAAAACATTCAACAGGATTCAATTAGTCAGGAATTGACTGTACTGTGAAAAGTTCCTATTCTTAGACGTTACACACTTATAGCAATGCCCACATGGAGGGCAAAACAAAACAAAAGACTTAACTCAGTACACACCTTATTGATGATGCATACTATATACAGGTAAGCATATGAATGCTACACGCTAACTTCCATGTTAAGAGTTTTCCCATAGAAAACCATGATAAAGAATGTGTTTAATATGGCTTAATGCATTAAGACAGTAATATGAGAGGACCAAATTCAGTACACACGTTATTAATAAAACATGCTATTGTAAAGGTAAGCAGATCAACCCAAAATATGAGCAAGGTTCAAGTTTAACGTTAAGCATTTTCCATTGACGTACAATAACATTTTTTAGTCATACTCTGAATTCATGTGCTTGCCTGTATATAGTATGCATCATCAATAAAGTGTATATTGAATTTGATAGTATAATATCACCGTCTTAGTACATTAGGGCATGTTAAGTGTTTTTCACATTAAGTGTTTAAGAATGTCCTGCTGTTTTTAGTGATTGAAATACTGCAGCAGGAGCTGAATATGGATAGCAAGTGCCCAAAACTTGCAGTCTGTTCACATATCTTTGTTTTTGAGAGGTGATCTAAATATTCGTGGCTTGAAAAATGAAATATTTACAGGCCTAGTTCTGTGAATGTTTTACCCTCCAGGTCTCTGCCCCAGTCACGTGACTGAAAACTATAACTATTTGAGAAGTGGTTGGAGGGGAGGGATTGAAAAATATATGAAAATATAATATCACCAGTGCAGTCTCACTTGTTAACTTTTTTATTTTTTTTATTCAGGTTCTCAAATGTGGGTTTGTGAACCTCTAGGGGCTCATGTTAGAACTGCAGGTTTGTAAAATAGAGAAACAAATGCTAATTCAAGTTTTATTATTTTATATGGCAGTTAGTAAAATAAAAAACAACAACAACCTCGCGTTCAACGGTTTACTCACCCTCATATATATCCATACGAGTGTCATCCAACTCACCTCTTGACTGTGTCATCAGTAGTGCCACCTTTGCCCTGCTTGTCGATGACAATCTTGTCGTTCATGCCGAACTTGCACTCTGGCATTCCACTCAGGTAGCTCTTCATCACCACACGCCCTGACACATGGGCACTCAACACCTGACCTGCACACACACGCACAGAATACAATCACTATCGCCACAGCTATATCATGCCCACTGAAGCCCGGTGGGAGACCTCCTGGGAAAACTAGGCTGGTGCTGGAAGAGGTGTTAGTGAGGCTAGCAGGGGGACGGGGACACTTTATTGTAACAAGCACCATTCTTCGGATAAGACGTTAAACCGAGGTCCCCACTCTCTGTGGTCATTAAAAAAAATCTAAATGGCACTTCTTGTAAAGAGTAGGGGTCCTGGCCAAATTCCCTCTATTGGCCCTTATAAAACATGGCCTCCAAATAATCCCTATCCACTGAATTGGCTCTATCACTCTCTCTCCTCTCCACCTGTAGCTGGTGTGTGGTTTTTGTGGATGCTGCACACTGGTGGTGGTTGAGGAGAGACCTCTGATATGATTGTTAAAGGGATACTCTACTGGTTTTTCATATTAAACTATGTTATTCCCTTAACTAAGATGAGTTGATGCATACCTCTCTCGTCTCAGTGCGTGCACTACATCGCTGTCTTGCGGCGAAACTTTGTTAGATCTTATCTCAGCCCTGTTCATTCAATACGTGCCAAGAAGAGAAGCGACCAAACACCTCCACGTTTTCCCTATTTAAATACAGTTACCGGTACACGAGTAGTGTAACTCGACCTAGGACGGTGACACAAAATAAAACGTTGCGCTTTTCTAAGCGTGTAAAATGGATAACTATATTATATTACCATAGCAAGTGCTTGGGAGCACTTCGACTCGGCGCAGTAATCCGGGGGAGAGGATTTTTCACGAGAGATGATATTATTGCGCCGAGTCGAAGTGCTCCCAAGCACTTGCTATGGTAATACAATATAGTTATCCATTTTACACGCTTAGAAAAGCGCAACGTTTTATTTTGTGTCACCGTCCTAGGTCGAGTTACACTACTCGTGTACCGGTAACTGTAAATAGGGAAAACGTGGAGGTGTTTGGTCGCTTCTCTTCTTGGCACGTATTGAATGAACAGGGCTGAGATAAGATCTAACAAAGTTTCGCCGCAAGACAGCGATGTAGTGCACGCACTGAGACGAGAGAGGTATGCATCAACTCATCTTAGTTAAGGGAATAACATAGTTTAATATGAAAAACCAGTAGAGTATCCCTTTAAGTGCTTTGGGTGTACATTAGAACATAGTACAGCACTACATAAACGCCTCATTCATTCTTCATTCATGTGCGGTTTCATTACACAGAGATGGATGATAGTAAAATTAGTAGTACTGTAATTCTCAACCATGAGTGTACTGTAACTATTTGGCCAGTAGAAGTCAGGAACACTCACCCTGAGGTGACATCAGCAAGTTCACACTTTCCAGTACATCCAGGAAGAGTTCATTGCGGCGATATTTGATGCCTTCACGTCTCCAGCCGATCTGTCCAGTCACCTGACTGGTAATCTGAGACTGCTCCTCTTTCGTCTGAGAGGAACGGGCAAGAAAAACATTAGCACAGCCAAAAAACAAGCCAGACAATTTGCATATTGCACACTATGAGGCGTCATGGAAAAAATATCATTGAAAATATAAATGTGAGGTATAAAGCGCTGCAGGGATGACACACTTTTGTAGGCCAAAACCTGGAAACAATTTATAATTTTAACACTTCTGGCTCCATCGTCCTGAAGTCAATGGGTTTGTTGAACGGGTTTTTGGTTAAACGCCTGAAATAAGGTCTGTGATGAACACAAGCTCAAAATAGTTTCGTGTTTTATTCAACATCATAAAATACACAACCTTGTGATTTTATTTAAAGCTTCTAAATGGGACTATAGAGATTGTCGGGGACATTAACGTCAGGTAACAACAGGTAAACTCATCTATTCACAACAAGTCGCTTTCACATCCCCATCTTTATAATTGGCCCAAGTAAACTATTAGAATTCGACCTTTCAGGGAATGTTTTTTAAAATAAAGAGTTGCCAGAAGCTTAATGGTGGTGAAGTCATGTGACTGCAACAACAACAGTTGAACAGATTCACACATCGTCACATCACGCACCTGCAGCGCTTCTGTAAAGAGAGAGAAAAACAGTACAATCATACATAATAAATGCGCAAAATATAATTCACTTAAATTAACAGGTTAACAAAATGAAAAAAAAAAAAAAAATAGTAGGCTACATGCTGAGTTTTGGTTCATTTTTGTGACGGACGAGGATGATGTTTTACATGGATGTTGGAACACGAGTGAAGTTCAAAGCCTAGTTTATATAAATAAATAATAGTTTGCATCCAGATATCCGAATATGGAAACATTTGAATATGTTCTGAATGAGCAAGGTTGTCTATGTGAGCCCAACACAGGTTTCGCTTTAAATTAATTTGTTTTGGCTTGACGTTTATTTTTCATTCTGTTCACTGAAACAATTTTTTTGTGACGTGAGGGGATGTTTGTAGTCTTAATGCTTGTAAATATTTCGCTTTATTTAGCTGTATTTTAAATTGATGTAACTAGTGCAAAGTGCCCGTGCAAAAACTGTTTTTGTGTGTGTTTTTAGTAATTGTTGGTTTGGTGAGTTTGAGTGCTCATTGTTACAATTACACAGCAAAAGTTCAGTGACATTTTAATTTAATTTTAATTTTATTTGTGGTAGAAAGCAGATACTCAATAAATATGGAAACGTGAACTAACGTTACACGATTCAGGGAGCATGACACAGTGAACTCAGAGAAAACACTACGCTTGAGCAAACAGTGTGTGAATAGGCTAAACTACAAATGATGGCCGCGAATAAAATATAATGTTCAGAAGTAAACATGTAGCTGACTTAATGTTCAGCTGACAGTGTTTATGTCAGAATGATTATTTTTAAACCACAACCTTCTAACTGCTTCTTTTACCGATATATTTACTGATATCTTTTGCATTTCTAATCCAAACAACGTCAAACTCGGCACTGCACTTACTCGTGCCCGTAGCAAGACACCTGTCAAGTTTGAGATCCATCGGACTAACGGTTCGAGAGATATGCGATTAACAGACAGACACACACACAGACAGACAGACAGACGTTCCTGTAATTTATAGATAGATAATAAAATGGGGGGGTGGGTGTTAACCTGGCCCTAGCCAGATGAATTTCGCTCCGCCTAGCTTCACTCATCCATCTGGAACCGATCCATTGAAATGGCGTTTCAGAAGGCTGGGCCTTATCAAAAATCCTTGCATATGATTGGATAAGCCACTTGTCTGTCATCTTTATCGACGTGCTATTTCAACCACTCACACCGAAGCCAACCCGTGACGCTGATGAGAGCGATGGGGTGCTGCACTAGTCCCATTTCCTTAACTACCAGAGGAGCCATTTGGTAGATCAAGCTCTTGCCAAAACCGGTCGGGAGAAGGGCGAAAACATCGTTTCCACCAACAAAAGCCTTAAGAGCCGTTCTCTGATGTTCTTTTAATTAAACAATATTAGGTAGATTGGACAACACGGATGAAATAGCAGAATCAATGTTAACGCTTGCTTCCTCGATGCGAGCCGCCATTGTTGTCTGAATCAAAACAGTCTCACGGTCGCTTCTCCACTACGTCACATCTATGAAACTCATGCGTCCTGATTGGCTAAATCATAACTCATGCGTCCTGATTGGCTAAATCATAAAGTTGGTTGGAGAAATCACTCTCAATGGAAGGGGTTCCAGATGGATGTGAGTGAAGCAAGGCGGAGCGAAATTCATCTGGCTAGGGCCAGGTTAGGGGGGTATAATCTCTCTGAAAAACACAATTTTATATGTATGGCATATTTTTTAACCATGCAACAAGCGTTTTAAAAAAAATCTTGAAAAATGTCTTTAACCGTTTAACCGAGAGTATTAATCAGTCAAAATTCGTACTGTCAGTTAACCAGTTAATTATGAGCATCCCTATTGTGTTCATCTGTGAAGATGACGAAGAATTGTGTCCAAATAGTCCAAAAGCCAATGGAAAAATCCCATTGGGGTTTTATTGAGGGAACCAGAGTGATGCTAACTTCCAGGCTGGCCTACAAAAATGCCATTACCGAACTCTAGAACTGTAAAAGAATAACTGTGCTTACGTGATGCTGGACGCGGTGAGTTACAGGTCATCAGTCACGTGGTGAGCGGTGATGTGAAGACGAGGGTGTCAGAAACATTAACACACAGTTCAGTTTCCACATGCTTCAATAAAGGCTGTGCTCCATAAACTCAGATTTCCACACTTCTGCTACAGGTACATTAACAGTGTCCATTTTCATAAAGCATATTCATAAAAACAAGCGAACCATATGTGTGGAGTGTCAAGCAGGACGTACCTGGCTCTTAATACCCTGTTGAGTAATGAAGGTCTTTAAGGCTCCGGTCTCAGAGTTCTGGGGGTACCCAAAATCCAGGATCTCTTAAGTGAGGCCAAAGAGAAAAACTATGAGTATGTGTGGTACTAATACAGCAGCATTGCTCTTCCACATCCGTTGGGAATCTTTAGGCACCTCACGATCTGATCCGATTCTGGGAGTCACAACCAGATTCCAAAACAATTCTTATCTACATTTTTTGTTTCTTAATTAGTTTACTGACTTTAAATCTTACATTTATTTGTGCATTTTTTATTTAATTACTTACTTATTACTAATTACTAATCCCTTAACCCTCTGGGGTCCTTCGGATCAAATGGCCCCGAAGCGTTTAAATAAAAAAATGTAAAAAAAATCATAGCTTTATCGGAATGGTCCGAAATTTGGTGACTTTGTTGGTACTTGGTATATGAACACCCAAAAAAAATGGCGACAGGATTTGAATAGTCTAAGTGGTCGTAAAAAAAATCGTCACACTCAGGACCTTCGGGTCCAAATGGTCCCCCCATAGGAAATGAATGTGAAATTGGCAAAAATGTGAAATACTGAGTTTTTTTGTGCGTACAATCTACAAATCAGCCACGATCCAGAAAAAAGCACACAACAGTGAAGGGGTGAATCTTTAAAACATCAAGAGTGCAAAACAGACACATCCACACACACACACACTTTTATACACGTAAACACTAATAAATTCAGATTACATATAGGTTTTGAATTTTTAAAATGCTCAGTTTGTCCACCAGATGGCATCCATCTCATTTCTAAAATTGCTTTCATGAGGCCTAGGCTTGACTCTAAAATGAAATACAGCTTAAAAAAAAAAAAAAAAAAAATTATATTATATTCAATAGGAACAAAAATGTGTCATAATTATAGCATAAATATTAATTATAAATCATAAAATTATCTCAAAACACTAAAAAAGAAAAGAAAAAATATTATAAAAAACAAGTAAAAGATGATTTTTTTATATAAATATTATTCCCACCCTCCCGGACCATTTGGTCCCGAAGGTCCTGAGTGTGACTCTGAAATGAAGGACCCCAGAGGGTTAAGACATAACTGACTGTATTTATATTAATTTTGTCGTAAAAGCAGTTAACTCTTTACTCCTGTGCTGCGAACGCTCTTCTCAAGGCGAACGTGAGCATTTGAAAGCAGCCGTCTGTCAGTAAGTGAGTTTCGTTTATAGAATATATAGGCCTACTGCATTTCAAATGGCATAAATGACGCCTTCGTAGAGCATTTTGAGGAAAAACACTAAAATGCCGGCAGCCCAGACCACCCATTGTAATCATAACTGAGAAAAGCAACGCTTTCCTAGTGAAATGAAGCCTGCGATTGCCCTTGTAATTCGCTTCAACCTTATCGAACTTCAGAAGGTTCGAGGGTTTGTGTAGAATTGGAAGCAAGAAGAATACCGCTGTTTCTAGAGCACACATCGTGCCGTCGCACATCTGCGGTTTAAACAAAACTCAAAATCGTTAAAAAGAGAGACAATTTTGCCCTCTTTTTGTTCCTTTAACCTATATTGCAGTAATGCTTATATTTTATATACTTTCCCAACAATCTGGCTGGAATTTATTCTAAAAATGTGTCATTATTGCTTTCGTCCAGTGTAAAGTCTGTAAAGTCGTCCAGTGTAAAGTGAGGTTTTATAGGGAAGTCAGTGAAGTAAAGTAGCTTAAACATGTACTGGCTGTCAAAAAAAAAAAAGTCATAGCGGGAAAGAAAACTATGCTCACCAACCCATGCCATGGAGTCTTAAACATCAGGTATCACAAGGGATTTTAAGGTTATGGTACAATATAATCAGTCACGACACAGTTCTGTAAAGCTGCTTGACAGCTGAAATTGATGGCGTTTCATAATTGATTAACATTAAATTGACACTTTATTACTGTGAAGCTGCTGTGAAACAATCTGTATTGTATGAAGCACTCTATAAATGAATGTGACTTGATTTGAGCTCAAATGTAAATCAACATCGACAGCATCCATCTCAGGGAGCGGAGGAGACGTCCGTCTGTCTGTGCAGTATTTTCTTTAGGCTTCGATTTTCTCATCAACATTTCATAAAAATCAAAACCTAAAAAAACAACAGCACAACAGTTGCGGGAGAGTTCGTGTCTGGACCTGGCAGGGAAGGGAACTGCAGTATAACCAACGCTACAGTCAAGCGACACGCAAGGAGAATTCTGCTGAACGGAGAAGGGAGTCATCTTACCGTCTAGAAGCTCGTAGATCAACACAAAGTTGTTCTTGATGTTCTCCTCGCTGATCTTGCCGAAATAGGCGGTCATGACGTCACACATCTTGTAGAGGAACTCGAACACCATGGCTGCGTTGACATTCTGCTTGGTGACGGCCGCCAGCCAGATGTTGGAGCGCTTGACGTGGAAGAAGCTGGTGCGGGCGATGTTGGTGACGGGCGAGCGCACCTGCTGACGCGCGTGGATCACGTTCACACGGAACGCATCCACCGCATTCCTCCTGCAGGAAGACCATCGGGCGGTGTATTAGTCCGTTTGAAGGAATGACTCAATGATTCGCTCATTAACCGCTCATTGCCGCCACCTTCTGGCGGTTTTAGTTTCATATTAAAGGGTTAGTTCACTCAAAAATGTAATAACTCTCCCTCATGTCGTCCCAAGCCCGTCAGACCTCCGTTCATCTTCGGAACACAGTTTAAGATATTTTAGATTTAGTCCGAGAGCTTTCTGTCCCTCCATTGTAAATGTATGTACGGTATACTGTCCTTGTCCAGAAAGGACATCATCAAAGTAGTCCATGTGACATCAGTGGGTTAGTTAGAATGTGTTGAAGCATCGAAAATACATTTTGGTCCAAAAATAACAAAAACTACAACTTTATTCAGCATTGTATTGTCTTCTGGTTCTGTTGTGGATCCGCGTTCAGTGCCGCTGCTGACGTAAGACGCTGCTGACGTGTGTCTGGTGTCTGGTGTGTGTGTGTCTTTCCGGTTCTGTTGTGGATCCGCGTTCAGTGCCGCCGCTGACGTAAGACGCTGCTGACGTGTGTCTGGTGTGTGTGTGTGTGTGTGTATTCTGGTTCTGTTGTGGATCCGCGTTCAGTGCCGCCGCTGACGTGTGTCTGGTGTGTGTGTGTGTGTGTATTCTGGTTCTGTTGTGGATCCGCGTTCAGTGCCGCCGCTGACGTGTGTCTGGTGTGTGTGTGTCAGCAGCGTCTTACGTCAGCGGCGTCTCTGAACGCGGATCCACAACAGAACCGGAAGACAATACAATGCTGAATAAAGTCGTAGTTTTTGTTATTTTTGGACCAAAATGTATTTTCGATGCTTCAACACACTCTAACTAACCCACTGATGTCACATGGACTACTTTGATGATGTCTTTATTTCCTTTCTGGACAAGGACAGTATACCGTACATACATTTTCAATGGAGGGACAGAAAGCTCTCGGACTAAATCTAAAATATCTTAAACTGTGTTCTGAAGATGAACGGAGGTCTTACTGGCTTGGGACGACATGAGGGGGAGTCATTAATGACATCATTTTCATTTCTGGGTGAACTAACCCTTTAAAGTATCTTTTCAATTTTAAAATAATTTCATATATCAATGTTTAGTGGCGAGCAGGACGAGGTCGAGGGACGTGACAGAACGGCACGAGGCCGGTGGCGTGATTAATGATGAACGACGCACCGTTCTCTCACGTCCCTCGACCTGCTTACCACAGTTTTATTTTTAAAACATTATTTATGCATTTGTAACTGCAGATTAAATTCATTATGTCACCTCTGAGCTGCATTAAACAGTCTGATACATCTAAATCCCACTTCAGATGTAGCTTCTGTGTTTCCTCTGCATCGCAAAGATTGATTTTGTTGATACTGATATCATTTGATTGGTAACAGCCCTATAGTGTCTTATTCTAAATGAATTTATTGAATAAATGTAATAATTTGACATAGTAAATGATGCATAGGTTACATTTAATTAGGTAAGAAAGACATGCCCTTATAAAGTTAAAAATGCAGATAAAAGGTAAACCTCAATTTAAACGTATTGGAAAATTGTATTTTTATCACTGCTGCGAAACCACCGCACAAAATATGAAGAAAAACAAAAACTTTAGGAGTCAGCTGTTCACGCCAGTCCTAAACCTGCAAAGGTGCCAGCACAATAACACAACACACTCAGCTAAATATCGTCTGATCATCGTTATCTACAAAACCCCAGAAAATATCGAGATATTATTTTTGTCAATATCGCACAGCCTTACTATATACACGTTTTCATCCCCTCTCTCCTCCATCCCAGAGTTCCCTTTCCTCCAGGCATGCTCGACATGCACACACACGCACTGCGACTTCATCGAATGATCTCTCTTTCTCACACAGCCCTGCATGCGTGCATGAACACACACACACTGCGACAGTACGAGTTGGCAGCGATGTACAGACCCACTGTATCCATAGCAACCCTTCTCTGTACAGACCATGACTAGACGATTGTCTAAAAGTCCTCTTTATTTGATCTCACTCTCCCCTTTTTCTTTATACCCCTACTGAAGGTGCAGGTGGGAAAAAACACACAGGGGTGGGTCACAACATTTGAGTGCCATTATTCCCACGGAGGCCAAACAAATGATAGGAGCTGAAATGAACAAGCACATATCCTTGATGTTAAAACCTAGATCTACTTCCTGTTGAAGCAATTAAAGACTATTTTCTAAACACAACCACACACACATTTCACAAACCACACTGACTTACCCAATGTCATCACGGTAGACACGGGAGATCAGCACCTCGCCCTTGTGGTTGTAGATGAAGAGTCCTCCGATCATGGTGGTGGTCTTGCTCAGTGTTCACGGGCCATTTTGGAAAACTGAATAAAGAGGAAGAGCCAAGCTGTCAGTCACTGGAAAGATAATTGACCAATTGCTTTGAGTTTAAATAAAAAAATATAGAAGAAGAAAAACAACTCTCCCTTAAGGCTTAACAAGAGATTAAAAAACCTTACACCTTATAGTAATCAAGCTACTGAAAAATCCAGTCTAAATGAGCATACCGCACCAACATAAATGCAAATGTTCTTTCAACAGATCGTATAATTAAAGCAATAGTTCAAGCAAAAATGAAAATTGCACCATAATTTACTCGCCCTCAAGCCATCCTAGGTGTATCTCTCAACTCTCTTGTGAACGCGCATATTGTTTATAAAGTTAAGTATATCTTTCTTACAAAAACCCATCGCTTCGCTTCAGAAGGCATGGAGACGTATGGATTACTTTTATGATGGATGGATGCGCTTTTTTGGAGCTTCAAAAACTATTCACGCCCATTATAAAGCTGGGAAGTATTTGTAGCTGAAGCTACACATGAAGCTGTTTGTATTTAGAAAATGATGATGAAAAAATGACTGAATTTTCAATTTGGAGTGAATCTCTTTAGAGCTTCAAGACCTCAATGTACCAATCCTGCCCTCAAACTCATTTAATAGACCAATGATTAAGCCTATTAAATCATATTTGATACATCAACCACTAAACTTATCAATATGATCCAAACCGTGCAGAAAAAAAAAATACTACATGCCTTCTGATTGATAGTTCTTTTCTAGCAAGTAAAAGACGTTTTAGTATAATTGTAAAACTGCCTCCCCCTGACAACTCATACTGATATGCATTTTATAGAAGTAGTCCGCTATACTGTTATGAAGACTCATTGATTTACATAAGCTGTAGATAACAAAAAATCTCATCTTAATTTTTGGCCATATAGCCTAAATGGCAACATTTGCACCAAACTGCATAATTTTCTTCAGTTTTGTCCACTGAATTAAATGGTGATTTTCTCCTCCTCGAGTATGAGCTCCATATTCTCATAATATCATACTATAACGGGTATAAAAGCCTGATGTATCAAATATGATACAAAACAGGCAAACTATTATATTTTGTATAAAGCTTCAATATTTGACTATTATTTCATGTCAGGCTTTACAGGGTTAAAGTGACATTTCCCAGTCACTGACACACTCATATCTCTGGATGACAGGACCCCTGCCATTGAACAAAGCAGAAAAATAACAGGAACAGATAACAGTTCTTGTAATTCTAAACCAAAATGAACCTAAACATTATACAGGCGTAACCACTGAAATAAATTGAGTGAAATTAATATTGATATATAGTGAGTCCTTGTACACAAGAACATTAGTAATTGTTACTGGGACACCACCAGTTACAGTGCATATGAATATATTAGAATATTCATTAGAATATGATGCATATTTTGATGATGATGTCATTCTCAGCTCTATTGCATCCATCATGGCTGCTGATGGAAAAATAGAAGAGTTCACATGGCAATGCTGGCCGGGATATTATAATATTTTTTATTATTTCCAATAATGATTTTAATCAATATAACGTTAACTTAATAATCTGCCGCATCCATTCATGTTTGCGGATGGAGCCTCAGACCAGCCCACTGCTGACTGTCTGTATAAACACTAATAAACAAACACATTCAGTCCACTATAACGTTACATATTATAGTATTATTATGAAAAACAGATTTGATTATTTAATGTAAAATGTTTATCTGAATACACGCAATTGATTAATGTAACGTTAGAGGTAACGTTAACGTTATGTGACGCTAGCCGCAGCTCTTCCATTCAAACGCACAGACATCACGATTTTAAACGTTTTATGTTAAATAACGGATCCCAACTAATCCATGTTATTCATTTAACATGTTTCCATTAGTGAATATAACGTAAAACACCCCGACTCCGGCTAATTAGCTGGTTAAGCTAACTAACTAGCCCAGCTCGGTTGTGTCACGACTGACCGGACCGGTGTCTTCACTCACTCACTCACTCACTCACTCACCTCTGCGTGTCTGTCTCGGTGTCTCCCTCCGGACCGGACCGAACCGGCTCAGCTCAGCAGAGACAGATGCGTTCGGTTCTGACCGAAGCTCAGAGTTATTGAGAGTATCTGGTGTTTTAGGATGCGGTCACCGTTCACTCATGAATCCAAGATGTCGCCCGCTGCTCCCTCCCTCTCTCTGCTGCCGTCAGCTGACACACACACACACACACACACACACCTCTATGATACTCGGTTTCGCAGTCTTCGTGGGGAGTGGACTCTCCATAGACATAATGGTTTTTATACTGTACAAACATTTTCTATTACTATTCTATGCCCTAACACTACCCCAACACACACACTTTCATGTTTTATGGGGACTTATTTCCATAGACTTTATACTGTACAAACTATATTCTATATTCTATCCCCACACATCACAGAAAACGTAGGCTACAATATTTTCAAAAAACATAACTTAGTATGATTTATAAGCTGTTTTCCTCATGGGGACCAAAAAATGTCCCCACATGGACAAGATTAAGATATTGCCATCTTTGTGGACACACACACACACACACACACACTGTTGGTTTCATGATATGACCGAGGCATCCCATCCTTCTTTTTCTTTTCTCTTTCTTAAAGTTATGTGTAAATTAACTGGGAAGACTGCTGGGTGGTATTTGACTCCAGATGTGTGTGTGTGTTGGAGGAGAGTTTTTCGCTGTGTGATTGAATCAATGAAGGGTTACAGCTCATATAATTTTCTTAGGCACTGTAAGTTTTCGGATTTTGTGCTGGCTTTTGCTCCTCCTCTTTGTCTGCTTTCTGGAATCCAAGACATTTTTAAGAGCAAAATGAATTCAGGCCCCCATTACAGTAACATCGCTCCTTGTTGTTGGCCCTACATTTCAGAAAATCACATTAGTGGATGCCTGGGGAATGTTTTAGCCTTAGCTGCCAAAAAAACCCCTAATGCTTTACAAAAAAAAAAAAAAAATCCCTTTAATGGAAGTTTATAGGATTTATCGTCAGACGAGAGTGCAGGACAGGTTACGTGCTGAAGTTTCATTCTTAGGGTTACAGGTTTGTTTATAAGATGTGAAGCATGTTCTTTTTTGCTCTGAAAGGCAAACCTTTATGAATCATCTCGAGACGCTTCATCATTTGGTTCAGTCTGAGTTGTATATAAATTACAGCTTGTCCCTGGATCTTCTTTTGATACAGTGAAAATGTAAATCATAGAACAGCTCTTCTGACAGGAAAAGAGAACAAAATACATTTCCCACCATTAAACTACGGCAGACTGTCAGAATCATTGTGGGAAAACATTCTCTATGAGAAAAAATCCACCCATCATTCTCTACCACGTTAAAACAAAGTGTGAGTGGAAATCAGCTGACGTCCCCCGACCTCAGGAGTGAAGAAGCCTCGTTTGAAAAAGAAGTATGCTAGAATGTGCACTTGTAGTGTTCTTCAAATCTTAAAAGTATGTTTTAACTTAACTGTACTAGCCGATAATATAATCATTAATTAAAGGCCATTTAAGTGTACTTAAATATAGTACACATTCATGACTGTGTTTCTTAACATACTGATACTTAAAATGTGCACTGACATTTTTACTGATAAGTGCAGTTTTAAACCATAATTTTAATATTTTTTTGTCATGCTTTAAAGTACTTATTTTATCACTTGTGTTGTCTAACATACTAAAGCACATGTAGGCTACTTGATTATAGTTTCAACTGTATGTAATAATATATTTTTAATATATTGCTTTTATATTAAAATATATTAACTATTATTATCATTATTTTATTTTACAGAACAACAATAAAAGTACAATACTAACATTTTTGTTTGCCTTGATGTGCTTTTAAACATTAAACCACTGAGCTTTTGGTTGTGACAACAAGATACAGTGGTGTGAAAAAGTGTTTGCCCCCTTTGTAAATATGATCAGAGATGGCTGTAAAAAATAAATCTGCATTGTTAATCCTTTTGATATTTTATTTAAAAAATTTGAAAAAATCTAACCTTTCATTGAAGTAAAAGAATTGAAAGTTGGGGGAAAATCACATTATGAAATAAATGTTTTTCTCCAAAACACTTTGGGAACAATTATTTGCCCCCTTTTATTAAATACTTTTTGCAACCTCCTTTTTCCAAGATACCAGCTCTGAGTCTTCTCTTATAATGCCTGATGAGTTTAGAGAACACCTGACAAGAGATCAGAGACCATTCCTGCATACAGAATCTCTCCAGATCCTTCAGATTCCCAGATCCATGTTGATGCTTCTTCTCTTCAGTTCAGCCCACTCATTTTCTATGGGTTCAGGTCAGGGACTGGGATGGCCATTGCAGATGCTTGGTTTTGTGCTCAGTGACACATTTTTGTTTTGATTTTGATGCTTGTTTTTGGATCACTGTCCTGTTGGAAGATCCAACCACAGCCCATTATAAGATTTCTAGCAGAGGCTGTCAGGTTTTGATTTTTTATCTGTTGGTATTTGAACGAATCCATGATGCCATATATCTGAACAAGATGTCCAGGACTTCTGGCAGAAAATTAGGCCCACAACATTAAAGATACAGCAGAGTATTTCATTCTACACATGGGGTACTTTTTATACCTGTATGAACCTAACCCATCTTAAGTGTTTGCTGCCAAAAAAGCTAATTTTTTTTGTTTCATCTGACCATAGAACCCGTCCCATTTGAAGTTCCTGTAGTGTCAGTTACTTTTCAAACGTTCTATGGTCAGATGAAACAAAAAAAAGAGCTTTTTGGCAGCAAACACTTAATGTGGGTTTGGTGCACACAGGGATAAAAAAGTACCCCATGTTTAGAATGAAATACTCTGCTGTATCTTTAATGTTGTGGGCCTAATTTTCTGCCAGAAGTCCTGGACATCTTGTTCAGATATATGGCATCATGGATTCGTTCAAATACCAACAGATAAAAAATCAAAACCTGACAGCCTCTGCTAGAAATCTTATAATGGGCCGTGGTTGGATCTTCCAACAGGACAGTGATCCAAAAACAAGCATCAAAATCAAAACAAAAATGTGTCACTGAGCACAAAACCAAGCATCTGCAATGGCCATCCCAGTCCCTGACCTGAACCCATAGAAAATGAGTGGGCTGAACTGAAGAGAAGAAGCATCAACATGGATCTGGGAATCTGAAGGATCTGGAGAGATTCTGTATGCAGGAATGGTCTCTGATCTCTTGTCAGGTGTTCTCTAAACTCATCAGGCATTATAAGAGAAGACTCAGAGCTGGTATCTTGGAAAAAGGAGGTTGCAAAAAGTATTTAATAAAAGGGGGCAAATAATTGTTCCCAACGTGTTTTGGAGAAAAACATTTATTTCATAATGTGATTTTCCCCCAACTTTCAATTCTTTTACTTCAATGAAAGGTTAGATTTTTTCAAATTTTTTAAATAAAATATCAAAAGGATTAACAATGCAGATTTATTTTTTACAGCCATCTCTGATCATATTTACAAAGGGGGCAAACACTTTTTCACACCACTGTATGGCTTGATGCGATCATCAAAAATCGCAACCCTTGTGATGAAATTATGTTTTCAGTTTTGACTCACAAACTGCTACTCCACGCAAACTCTGCATAATTTGCATTTGGAAACAAAACATGCGCCAACCATCTTCCCAAATTTATAATGAGAATGGTTTAAAAGTCTGTTAACAAAGAGAAGCGCTATGGTCTCCCTGTAGTTTTCTGCAAAATTAAAAGCTCAATGGTTTAACGTTTGAAAGCAAATTAAGGCAAGCATAAATGTAAAAAAAAAAATATATATATATATATATATATATATAAAATGATATAATAATTATTGTTAACAATAATAATATTTCTATTAATAGTTTTTTATAACATATTTTATTAGAATGTATTATGATTATAATGATGATGATTATTATTATTAAATACTTAATTTTTACAACAGCACATGTTGCAATAGTAAGCTATTTCTTTAATAATTTAATCAAATACAAATATTTTTAATAATAATAATAATAATTGTTGGGCGGTTCAGGATTTCTTTCATTTTTTGTCTACAGCAGATCACATACCTACGGAAGCGTATTGCATTCACTTGAAGAAAAAAAATCTACTCTGTTTTCTGAATTAACGAGTCTCAGAATTACGAGATAATTTTTCATGGAAAAAAGTTTTTGCTCTGTTTTTCTGAATTAATGACTTAATTATCTCAGAATTATGAGATACATTTTTCTTGAAAAACTTTTTTTTCACACTGTTTTTATGTATTAATGAGTTACTCTTAATTTTGAGATAATTAAGTCATTAATTAAAAAAAACAGAGCAAAAACTTTTTTCCATGAAAAATTATCTCGTAATTCTGAGATAATTAACTCGTTAATTCAGAAAAACAGAGTAGATTTTTTTTTCCTCAAGTGAATGCAATACGCATCCGTACATGCCTGAGAAGGTCTTGTTTTGTCTTAAAGAATTAAAGTGATGTCAAGAAAACCCAGAAAGATCCACACTCAGTGTTTAGGCAATAAACTATATTTATAAATAAAACAATTTGTTTTGTTTTGTCATAAAACAGTGTACAGTGAGTATTAAATTGAACCATTTAATACTGTTTTCCAATAATTAAACATGTGATAAATGCATCTGAGAAAAATGATCAGAGGTTTACAGAGAAACAATAAAGCTGAGTGCTGATAGTTAATGATGACGAACATTAACATATAAGTACTGTGTTGTTTGGGGAAGAGTGAGAGAGTGAAGAGAGCTGCTCTTTATCACATTATAATAGTGCATCATCAGGTTCATTCAGGGGTGCTGATAATATAGAAACATTAAAGGTCCATTTTGATCTACATCACACGTAATACAGGTAGAATATTACAAAGAATAACAGTACAGGACTGAATATCTCCCAAATTAATTTCTTTAAATCAACATCAAATCATAATTGACTTGAGCAACTTATTAATAAAAGTCCCTGGTCTTATTGTGCACAATTCATTGGTTCACGTGATTAAAAACAAAAACAAAAAAACATCATGTATCATGTTTAATAAATTCATTTTAACCCGAAGGTAAGGCAGACTTTAAAAGTCCTGTCTGTAAACTTAAAAACTCTCTTTTTTTTAACTCTCTCTCTCACTCTCCACAATTATTAGCAGAAAATTAAAGTCATAAATAC